CCGTTACACATAGATTAATTTATAGAGGTATCTACTAGTAGAGGTAAACTAAGATTGCACATCTGCTAGGAATCAATAATAGCATAATATTATATTAACAAAAGAGATTAAGAATAGGTAGCATAAGGGTCTTATAACTTGAAGGTTTTACAAGATCAAAGGTAAAGAGAGTAGAGCCGCTACTAAGAACAGGAATAAGATGATCAGTAATATAATAATAAGAGAGGTTGTCATTCATATAAGTAGTAGGATAGGATTCAATTGAACAAGCATACTATTATGATAGTATTATATGATTTAAGAAATCACTTATTAATTATTCTTTCTCAGTACTGGCAGACTAGGCCAATACCTTGAAGGTAGGAGCTATGGGTCTAGACTACTTGGTCAAGATTGGCTTTATATATCTAGCTCATTCCACTCAATATAGTTTTTGAAATTTATAGCTTACCTATAATCAGAACTCTCTGAACTAGAATGTTCTAGAATAACTAGTCAGTACAAATAAGATAAGATACTAAGCTCTCTGATAGGAGTTATCTACTATAGTTTACATTGCCAGCTTATTACTGGAGCTTTAGGTACAGTGCTTTGTTGGACAAGTGAGAAATATAGGAATAAAAATTAATAGAAGCGTTCTAGTAATCTAAACATTCAAGTTAGCTATATACAATCAATATATAACTATAATCTATAAGCCACTATTCTATAATATTTCATAGTTAGTGTAACTTAAAAATTATGATTTCCTTGTATTTAGATTGTTTGACTTCATCTCTTCAGAAAATTCCGCGTCTGTTACTTATAAGCCACTTGCTTATTCTGCTGTCATTTGTTTCACTCAACACTACTCACTTTTTTTTGTTTAGTCTCTTCTTACTTTTTCTACCTTACCTAGGTTTCTGTGCTGCTGATCCCTGTCAGAAGTTTCCCACTTATATTGCTCTCTGGAAGCAACACTGAGCACAGGTGGGGGTGCCGAAAGCAAGTTTCTTTCCTCTCGTTCCCTCCTACGCTCTCCTGTTGGTGCTGCACGAGTATCATACTACTTGTGGACTACATTATGTTGCCCGCAGGAAGCTCCCATCCCATCCTCCCGGTATCTCACCTTTTACGAGTGCTACAATATTATATGTGACCAATCTAAGTCCCTACTGTACGAGGCTGGCGCCATAAATGGTGAGCAGTGCAAGGGTTTTCCACCGAAAATAGCCATATTCATGACCTTCCAACCACTGATTTAGTCAAGAAACCCAAACTAAATCTTCATCTCTATCTAAAACAATTCCCTGGATTTTACTTTCCAACCTTTTAGAACTCTCTATCTAAAGTAGTTGAGGAATTATCAAGAGAGCTATGGTTGGTACATTGGTCTTGGCGCAATTTTTGGTAATTTTGTATGGGAAATGGCAAGGCTTGGCGCTGTTTTCAGCTTCAACCACAGAATATTGCATCCCAAACTAGCTAAAAATTCTTTAATAATCCATGAGCACTTAGGGAGATATTTGAAAGAATTTTGAACCATATTATTAATTTTTCAATTTTTTTACAACTCCAGAATGTATTGAATGGAATGTGTGAACTCACATGGTTTGGGTTGTTACATGCCATTTTGCTCATCATTTTTGTCACCAGCCTCGTACTGCGTTCCTTGTGCGCCCCGCTACACCCTATCACCAACCAACGCTAAAAGCAAGCACAATCTCACATTAATAACCTGTCGCATCAACAGCACAGCATACTGGCCTGGACTCTAATCACCAGATCGATCCGCCGGTTGCGTTTGTTTGGGCTTACGGTTTAGTACTCGAGTATGGTATTTCCCCACTTGCTTGCCACTGGAGGGGTTTGTGATACGGTACCTTTTACTTGTGTTTGCGCAGGAGTACCGGTACGGTACTTGCCAAGGGCAGGCTAGGCCGGTGATGTGATGATTTGTGGCGTGGGGCTGTGTTTAGATACTTATTTCTCATTTTTTCACCATACCGGATTGTACCCGTCCTGTAGATGCCTGCCGGTACTTGCGCTTGGTACCTGTGTTGAGGCTCCGAGGTACTTTGTGCCGAGTGGTAATGTGAGGGCGGAAATAACTTTTTTATTGCTACTCGGACCTAACTAACTAGCTGGCTGACTACCCGTACCAGCCGGTTCCGGGTATAGCATGGTAGGACATAAAACTTAGTTGAAGGTGAAGAGAGAAAGGTTCTTGTGGGGTAATCGATGAATGGGGGTTTTTCTTTTCTCTTCTCACTCCAATCTGTGGTCTGGTCAGCTGTAGTTTGCTTGGTAGCGAGAAGTGTCATACCTCTCGATGAGATGGATCCCAGAGGCGGTCTCAACAGCATGGCTCATCTCCCCAGGCGCCAAGGCGAACGCAGCATCCTCGAATTCTTTCTGCATTTCGCCTCTACCGAAGAAGCCGCTGTGGGTGGGAATAAGATCAACAGGGTTAATTCTTCGGAAGGTGGGATGGAGGATGGAGGAAGGGAACAAACAGGTCACCGCGTTTCCTCGCACTGCTGCAGTCAGATTCGGCAATGGCAAGGTCAGCCAACGATGTATTGCCCTCTCTAATACGAGCCTCAAAACCTAGGATAATTCCCATAGCGTCTTCGTTTGTTCTGGTGATGTTGGCCTAACCACCCCTCCCCCCCAGAGTGCATCGTAAATCAGCCCCCAAATATCTCATAATGGAGAAGAACGAAGGAGGGAGACAAGAGACAAACCTCCTTCCAAGAGCTAGGCCTCCTGCTATCCCTATGCTTAACAAGCAAATGCGCGCACCGAATCTTCCCGGGTTGACCACCACCCACTGAAGGGACGATGTTCATGGCGGGGAACTTAGCCACCATGTGGGCCTTTAGTTTTTCCGTGTCGGCACCGGCCGGCGGTTCCCATCGTGATTCAGTGGTCGTGGCGTTGAAGTAGTAAGGCAGGTTCTTGGAGTTTGAAAAGCGGATAGTCCAGTTCTCTGGCAGGCCAGTTTCGGAAGTCTGTGATGGGCACAGAGGAGGAAAGGCGGGGGGCCGGAGGGCTCGTTAGATTGCCCGCTAGTATGGAAAGTAAGGGGAGGAGGAGGGGGGGGTGTACCATAACTGATTGATGGGTATTTGGTGAGAGTACTGGTAATTTATTTTTGCTTTGGTTTTGCGAACGTGGTTGTGATTTATCAGGCGCGTTTTGAGGGGTAGGCGTGATGGTGTAGCTTCCTTCCTCCCTTTCGGTTTGGTGATGATGATGATGATTGTGGTAGTGATGGTGGGGCACTGTCAGGCAAGGCAACCCTGGGATTTCTTATTTTCGGTAGAAGGGCACAATGAGATAAGGTGCAGTGCCGGTACGAGTAGCTGGAATTAGGCGGGGAAAAACAAAAAAAGTGAGGGGGAATCGTCGGGTGGATGCCTAGCAAGTGATTGATCGATTGGTATCATAAGTTGGCGAGCAAGGAATGCAGAGAGCCAAGACCTTTGTCACGATGGATTTCCCTTTAATTAGGTAATTGCGGCCCTTGCCGTAAAATAAAACAGAATGACATTGCTTGAATTCTCACAGTAATATTGCCGATTAGGTTCCATAATACTTGTACCACGGAGGTGAATACGCTACGCTACAATTAATACAATAGAGGTATGACATCATACAGTACTTAAATTCACAGGCACGATAATACGGTGCGGTACCGTACTGGTATTGAGCCGGGAAAGAGTCAGAAGGGGAAATTGGCCCGGTTGGAAGTGAGTCAAAAAAGTGTTGGAATCTGGGAACGTGAGTGAGTGAGTAGGATTCTGTGGTGTGGTAAGGACTCGATCAAAATTCGAAATTGCTCACTTTCCGTGTCTGGCTCACCCGTTCAAGCTTCCTGTCCGATATCATACTATAATTGTACCTCTAGTTGGGAGGGTCCTATCATATAGTAGTGGGTTCCATCCTATACCGTCAGCATGGCTTCCCAATCTCCATCTCTAAAAAGGATTAAAGAGAAGAATTCCCGCTGACTGGTGATCACCGGGAGTTGCACTGTTTTATTATATGATACCTTACGGTGTGTATCTTAGGGGGTGTTTGGCACGTCAAAGTTTGTAAGGTATCCCTTGCCAAACACCTTAAGGAATGTTTCTAGTATAGATAGAAAACACTGTAACCCTTTAGACTTGTACCCTAAATCGATCTTCCGAATTCCACCCTTTTGGCTTCAAGTAATGAATGATAATGAGACTGATGCAAAAAAAATCCTAAGAGGTTTAATTAGAGGCAAATACAAGGTATGATATTGATTAATTTTATAAATGTACCAACCCTCAAGTTTACTTGTATGATAGCTTTTTTTTTCAAGCCCTAGTCAAGGTACCTTCAAACCACAGTTCATAAGATATCATACAAAACTTTTACCTTACAAATTTTTGTGGAGCCAAACGCATCCTACCTTACAAGCTACGGTTGCCAAACACCCCCTTAGCTAACAACATTCCCCTCTCTAGTATCATACCGGTATCACAGGGTATCTGGGTCCACCAAGGTCTCGCTCAACCTTTCCGACCATACCCTCCTACCCACCTACCCCCCCAAAAAAATAGTACCGCACATATCGTGTTAGCCGTTTTGCATCTTTCGGTTTTGGATAGTTGAGACCTCTCGAGTGTGGTACTTATACCTGTAATACCGGTAGAGCACAGTACAGGAACCCCCCCTCCCCCTCCCGAAGAATCCGCACAATAATAAGTTACTATGTCAGACAATCGCAATTCACAGTATCAGAATTAAAAAAAAACCCCCGGTCAAACTTATGATCAACACTGTTAGTCAAAAAAAGAAAAACATGACGCATAACGGTACTCGAGATCGTGCTATCTATATAAAGACAAAGGTACTCAATAAGCTAACTCTGAATGTACCGACATCCCCCCCCTTCACGCTGGCTCGAGCGAACTTCCCAGATGCTGGTAAGCGTGCACGAACCAAACCCAGCTCTCGGCGACAACATTAATGCTAAACGCATCACAATTCCTCACCCGGAAGCCTTCCTCCTCCCCCTCCTCGTTCACTGGCTTGTTCCGTTCTCAGCGTTGGGGCACCTCCTAGGGAATCCCAGTGAAGGGCGGCGAGGATGGTCTGACCCTCCGGCGGAAGTGCCTACCCCGATGGTCGTCGGGTTGGGGCGGTGGCTGTCGACAGATTCTTCGCGACTACTAGCCTAGAGATGGGGGCTGGGTGTGGTGGTTGACTTGAGAATCTGGGTGCGAGCCGTCGGAGCGGAGCACATTGCGGAACTCGTGGGCATTGGTATGATCCATCGGATTGAAAAGGGGAGGGGTCGTTGCTGGTGCCTGTGTACTTTGGGTGGTTGGCGATTGCGGGGTGGGAAGAACTTTCGGTGCTTGTGGATACAGTGTTTTGTCCATGAATTGAGGAGCAGGGGGGAAGGAAGGGGAGAAAGCTTTCCGTAAACCGTTTAAACGTCGTATCATAACTCTCGGCATGGTTTCGAACCCTCAAGAGCTAGAACCGAGCAATGCTAGGCGAATTTGCTGCAACACGATGTCACTCGTCAAAAACCAGACGCTGAGAGGGTTAGGACATTCCAACCATCTGGGTGCTGTTGCTGCAGGCCGTATTGAGGTGGAGGCAGGGTTAAGGGAGTGGAGGTGGAACGATAGCTCTCGCTGGGCTCCGGGGATGTGGTTGGACTAGAAATGCTTCTGGATAGGGGTAGGTTTTGGGATGCCACATGAATGCTAAAATTCCATACACATGAATGCTTTTAAACTACTAAAGTGATACAATCCAATGACGGCGTAAAAGAAAGAAAACATCGAAGAGGAAACAGAATCGGGGGGTTAGCCCATAAGATCTTCATGTCAAGCCCTCCGAACATGACTCCGAGTTATCCGGGCCGGCTTTGGACCCCTGGGATGTGCAGGATTCCTGTCAAGGCACTGGCAGCGGTCGAGTGGGTCCTGGGGCTGACGCCTCTCCCCGAGCATTGGGCAACTCTCGGCCAATCTTGGATCTCCACATTGGAAAGCAATCATCCAACTCTTTTCGAAGGCGCGGCCAAAGAACGGGTCATTTAAATCATCTGTGTAGTAACCGAATTTCTTGTCGTTATGGATCCAGTGATCGTCATCACTGGTTAGGAGGCGTCTCATGCTTTCATAGACATACCTCGGGGTGCCGCGGATACGCTTTGCCGAAACAATGAACTGTCCAGACCGCGACAAGAGGACATCCCCGGCAGGGCAAAATTCTCCATTAAAGGAGGCAAAAATCTCCGGAACACGATACCAAGTCTCTTCTGTGCCAAAGGGGTCCTTACACTGGTGGCAGGCACAGCGACGGAGGCTGGGAGCAAGAGAGAGTACGCCGGTTTCCGGTCCGTAGTAATCATATATGCGTTGAGCCATCTTCTCAAAATTCTGGAAGGATCCATCAAGGAAAATTGTATGCTCCGCGAGCTCATCCCACATATCAATGATATGGGTAAGCCAGGCAGCATTAGTCCCCCCCCGGGTTCCCAACTTTCGAACTGCATTTGCTTTGGTCTGGTCATGCACAATTCGTTGGTCTGCGTTGGGATCCCCGAAGTAAACAATGGTGTTGGGGTTCAGCGCGGGGAACCCGGGCAGTCGCTTAATCACTTCTAGAGCCTGACCGACCGCAGTCGGGTGCTCTTTGTATATGCTGACGACAATATCAAGCTTCCTAGGGGGCCGGTATTTCATGTCTAATGTGGCAACAGGGAAAGGTCCACTTTGCTCTGTGTTTGGTTTTTGGGGAACGTAGACTACTTCGCTGGATTCTCCACCCTCCAGCGGCACGGACTGAATCTCTGTCTTTCCGGTCCCAAACATTACTCCCAGAGCCATGACGAAGATAAGTGCGGCTGCTCCACCTATCGAAACCTTTCTTCGGGTGGGATGCTTTTCACCAAATTCCTCCCATGCAGTGGAACCATCATTGTGGAGGCGCTGATATTGTTCTCGGATCTTATCTGCGCCAAGCTTGTAGATAACGAGACCGGCCAGTGCAATACTGTAGCCAACCAGCTGTGTAAGACTGACGGTACTGCCCCAAACAACGACTGAGGTACCGACTAGAAGGATATCTTTGAGAACACCACACAGGGTGAGGACCAAGGAGGAGGTTCTGCCGATCTAATAGATGTAGTTAGCGGGAACCCCATAGCTCTAAGGTTTGGATATGTATTTCACCAGAAAAACCACCGAGATGTTCAAAATAAAAGCCAGGGCTGCATTTGCAAGCAATGTGAGCAGTCCGGGCTTAAGTATCTCGGACATACCCAGTCTCGATGTCTCGAATACAAGGAATGTCAGGAAATTCATCAATGCACAGGCCGGCGCAAAGTAATACAAGGATACGAGCGGGTCCATTTTGTATTCTGCGGTGCAAAGCAGCCGTTGCACCAGGATAAGACGAAGAGCTTCAAAAATAATGCCGGCCGTTTGGAATACGATGCCAGTGAAATTGAAGGCGATCCCCCCGTACGAGGCAATCATGACACCCAGCACAATTACGGAGACATTCGCAAGCACCCTAACGTTCGGTGTTTCCACCTTCATCCCCCAGCCCACGAGGAGGACTGCCACCGGGGTGGTTGCCTACGAGGGACAGAGTGAGCAGGTGCCGTAATTGACGTCAAACCAAGGGCGGTAGTTGTACCTTTAGCATCTGTATAAAAGCAATGGGCAGGTACATATACGTCTGGTTTCCACATATCAAACTCAAGCTGAAGAACAGGCCGATGGGGGCGATAGCTCTTAGGTAGAGCTTTCCCGTCATGGGGATATCGTTCCGGCCATCGAGGAGATGGGTCGTCCGTGCAAGAATCTGAGTAGCGATGGTTGCAAACACCAAATGCCATGTTGTAAGGAATATTGCTATCACAAACTCAATGCGGGTGCTCGATAATTGTAGTCACTCGGGAGGTAAGGGGATCTTACGGAATGCTATAGTGAAAGTTAGCTACAAGGCCCAGGTGGCGGCGATGCGGATAAGTCATGCAGAGAGCGATAAGAAACTTACAAAAATTCTTATCGAACAAGATCCACTTGTTAAAGATGATCGCGACCGAACTTAGAATGATCCATACTCTAGCGTCTCGGTTGTCAGCACGGCACCACTGGTGACGTTGCCCAGGGGAAAACTCACATCACGTAGACAGCGGGGTTAAACTTCTCCACCAGGGGCGGGGGTTGCGCAGTTGTAGCGGGATCTGGAAGGGATGAAGTCGACCGCCGGGGAGACGCTGGCACAGAGAGGTCCTCGCTTTCATCAGAAGAAGAGCGGGCTTCTTCTGCACCCATAGCGGCGGGCCTGGTTGAGGAAAAGGGCAACCAACGATAGCAGTGAGTAACCGATAGCGGTGATAATTCTTTATTTATTTCTTCCCCAGAGCGAAGCGATAGGCTGAAGGATACCACTTCTGCCTGTCAGCGGAGCGCAGAGATGGTGATTGCTGTATTCAAGAACTCCCCGCTTCTGTCTTTCTCTCTCCCTTTCTTTCTCCTCAGTCTTTTATCGGAACGGAATGGAGGACTTGGAGCACGCGGCGGTCAGCAAAGATTCAAGGTCAACAAAGAGGTTGCACCAAAAAGCACCCCGTCACGGGTTCGCTCGGCTGGCTCCGTGTCTTTGGCTGTTTTGCCAAAGTCACGCAGTGGCGCTTCGCGATAATGGGTCTCTATGGTGGGAAAATGGCTAGACTACCGTATCGCGAGAGGTACTTGTGAGCTTGAATACTCGCCCAGCCTAAGCAAAGTTCCTCGCCATAATGCCGAGACCCCCATCCACCGTCGATGGGTAACCGGAGCAACAAGTCCTAAATTGGTTTCCTGTGGCGTACGAGTACGAGTACCGGTAGGATGACGCTTGCTGGGGTAATCTTGGCAAAAGTGGCAAGGTTCACTCACCAGTGGAAGACGAGGATGAGAACAAGGTAAACACCTCTGCCAAGATGTAAACAATATCATACTCGAGTACCTGAGATGAGGTGCCAGGTGCTGGAGTAAAAAAAGGAAAGGGCACGTATTAATTGGCTATACACAAGCACATGGAAGGAAATCGCTAAAGAGAACAGGCCATGAGTGTTGAAAAAACCTTCCCAAAACCTATATAATCCATAGATTCCAGGTTTCAATTTACCATTGAAGTCTGTGGGGTACTTTGATCCGTTCCTGGCTTCAGTGTTGTGAATTTAGGATTCGGATGCCGATAGCACAACCCCTCCTGCAATTCATCCCTCTCGTTTAGAGCGACCACGTCGGGCTCCTTGTCCGAGGGGTTGACTCTGTTTTTATGATTGTTTGTGCTGTGCAGTTGGAGTCGATTCAACCTGGGCAGATGATCGAGATGAGGTTCAACTCTCTCTTCCTGGCCTCTAGAAACTATCGTAACTTGCCTACCAATATTACAATACCGGTGCCCGCAAGCCCTCTGGGCCCCTGTTACCGTGTTGGTGCGAGTACTCTTCAAGTGCTTGTGTCCGAGCACACCCTTGCTAGAACTCTACTCGTACCCCCCCTTACGGGCACGAGTACAATACTGTATAATAACAGCATGCCTGTAACTCACATGTTCTCAGCAATGCTGGCCGGTGATACGGCATTAGCCTACGGTACTGCTAGATCCCTCCCGTAACCCCTAATGGGGAGCACTCTGCAACGAATTCAAGAAGCTCCAGATTGTGACCCCTTGTCCCCCCGTACAAACTCGATCGGGTACTACAAAACGAAAGGCACTCTACCTTCTAGGGGAAGCCTGGCGTAGCGTGGCATGTTAAGCTGAAGTCCTGAGACCCCCCCATCTGCGCCCATTGCATTGTCCCGGAGCAAAGGGTGATGCAAGTCTTGGTGCCCTGCAGCCAATGCCAAATTTGAGGGTTTAGAGACCCTTTTATGGGTAACTTATGTCACAGATTCCTTCTGTACCGCAAATGTGTAAAGTGGCCATACGCCGTAGGTGACAGCTGTGGTTGAATGCTTGAAATGCACCGCAAAAAACGGGTCCCATTCTCTATGACAAGAAGAGGAGCATGAGTCCTTGGCTTTATTCCTTATAGAGTGGTACAGTACAACCGGCAAGGGAGGTATAATCCAGTGTGGCGGTTGGCCGGGTTGATTTAATCAAATCTTCTACCAAATTTCCGGCAGCTTGAGGGTGCGGGAAGTTTGATATGGATTCGGGTCCACGCTGACGAGGCACTAGCTGGGAAGAAGTGCTGGAAGAGGCGGAGGAGTTGGCGAGATACAGTGTGTTGCAGAAAATTGGTGCCTATCTGAGTGCCCATGCCATTTCATCACCCTGATTTCGGGCGCCGGGTACCCGTACTCTGCTCATTGCCTGCGACAAGTACCGTACGTGACAGGTCTAGAAACACATTGCTCCACTATCGTGCCGGTAAGGCTTCAGTAACCTCAAATGCTGGCCGTGGTGATACTCAATCGATCCGGTGTCATTCGGACCTAAGGGGTGTCTGCTGCCAAACTACATGTCGCTCTACTGCACCTTGTATCGTGCTTGAGCTCCGGCACTTTGCATACTGCTCGTTCCACAGCGCCTACACAGTGTTTCTCATTATCGGTGCGGCAGGTACGGGTGGCACGCATGAGAGAGTTTTTGGTGCCCTTCCAGTGCATATGGGTACTGTGCCGTTATTGTGCACCGATCATACCAGCGCTGTACCGTTCGCATCGGATTCTTTCTGAATCGATACGGTACTCATAGGCGGGAAGAGATCCTCAAAAGCACTGGGGAGCCGGAAAGTCTTTGTTACTTAACGTATCCCACGGTGAGCCGAAATACACGGTGATACGAAACAAGTGGCAAATACACTAGCTTTTGCTTACTAAGGGTACTTTTTACTTAGGCTGTTTCGCGTCACCGTGTGTTTCGACCCACCGTGGCCTACGTTATCTCATCGACCCCAGGCTTGGGGATGTCCGAAACATAAGAATTCCCTCCACCTCCCCTACTTGTAGCTTCCCCTGTATGGTTCCCGAGGTGCACACACATTCAGCATGCTCGAGCACTCGAGCACGCAGGTGTCCGGTAGCCTGCTACCAATAAGATCGACATGGCTGGAATCAGACAAACCGGAGAAGGTTGCCATGACCCAACTTGTGGCAAAGCCCCTGAACTTGAGGCTTAAATAAACGTGAACACTTTGTCACTGGCCCCTAAGGTGGAGCGTCCCTTTTGCCTTTGCCTTTCCGCGAGGAACCCTTGACCCGGTTCGCCAAGTTTACAGTATTAATACCAACGCTGGGAGAGAGTTCGCGTATGATACCTAAGCGCGAGCTGCTCGAGTGTCACGGGTACCGCACAAGTTCATCTTTTCCGGAAACCAGACACTTCGAAGCGCACAAGTTAAGCGTTATCATATGACATCCGAATAACGGGAAATTTATTGTGGGAGGCCCTTGATACTATACCGGTGCCGCACCATACCGGTAGGAGTGCTTGTACTGGGTGGGCCTTTTGATGTGCGCTCAAAAGAGCTCGAGAAATTGTCACCGGACCGACCATCGCCGCACACTTGCTACAAGCTTACTCCACCGGAAGGATCTTGTCTTGGATTTTTCCATCGCGCTTCTACCTCGAGGGCTATCCCCTTTTGGTTGGTTTAGAGGATTGGGGGGGGGGGGTCTCTCTTAGTACAGTACCGGTACAGTAACTTACGGTGGTCTCTAGCCCTACCGGTAAGGTTTGAGAAGCTCCTCGCCGCCTTCAAAATCTATTCGCGTCCAGTAAGACCCAGCAGCATACGGTATCATATTTCATTGGCTACTCCCTTCTCTATCATCATGATTTAAACCTCCTGTCCTCTCCTCCTCCCCATTGTTTTCCTATACCGTAGCTCCCTACCCAACACAAAGCAGCAGTAACGCTACCCTCAAGTGCTCTTTTCGATTGATTTTCTCCCTCTCTCTGTTTTTCTTCTTTTTCTCTTTTTTTTTCTTGGAAGAAAACAAATAAGTAAATACATTCATCGTCCCAGCTTCTCCCACGTTCCTTTAACCTCGATCTTAACCATCACTAGGCAAACACTGCTCAAGTATGACTTATTCAGATATGTGAGTGGGCAGTCATCCAAAACAACCTGTGAAGGCCTGTTTCAATTGACCTAATTTTTTGGTTGTAGATGTGTGGATGTGCTTGTCATTGGAGCTGGCCCAACTGGACTTGGTGCTGCAAAAAGGCTGAACCAGCTGGTATAAAAAAATCCCTCTACCCTCTACCCCCTGCCTCTAATCCTCAGTCTCTAAACGCGCTTTGGAATTAGAACGAAGCTTCATGGCTTTTGCTTGATTCTAGCGAGACTCCCGGAGGCCTTGCTTCCACCGATATCACTGAAGAGGGTTTTGTAAGTTTTCAGCCCCTCTGTATTCCTGAAAAGTGCTACAATTAATCTCGCCTTCGCAGCTCTATGATGTTGGTGGTCACGTCATCTTCTCCCACTACAAGTACTTTGATGATTGTCTCAACGAAGCTCTTCCCCGAGAGGGTGATTGGTATACCCACCAGCGGGTTTCATATGTTCGTTGCAAGAACGTTTGGGGTGAGAAATCCATTCCACCTTGACTAAATCCGTGCTGACCCAACCAAGTCCCGTATCCCTTTCAGAACAACATAGGCATGTTACCGGAGGGTGACCTGGTTAATTGCATGATGGGGATGATTGATGCGGCTCTTGAAGCAAGCGTATCGAATGAGAAACCCCGGAATTTTGATGAGTGGATTCTAAGGATGATGGGCAAGTTGCTTTCTTCCTTGTTCATACTGCCTATATTCTCTTCCTAGCTTCCTAATTTATACTCTTTTATTAGGTGAGGGGATTGCCAACCTTTTCATGCGTCCATATAACTTTAAGGTTTGGGCCGTCCCAACCGCTGAGGTAAACATCAAGCCCCTCCCATGAGCATGGTATTCGCGCGTTTGGCTGATTCCTCATTAAGATGCAATGCGAGTGGCTTGGCGAGCGAGTCGCTGCGCCAGACCTTAAAACCGTCATAAGAAATGTTATCCTGCAGAAGCCAGAGGGAAATTGGGGACCTAATGCTACCTTTCGCTTTCCCGCTCGCGGTGGGACTGGAGCAATCTGGATTGCCGTTGCGGATACGCTTCCTAAGGGTAACCTGAGACTAGGTGCTGAGGGGGCAGTCGAGAGGGTTGATGCCGAGGCAAAGACTGTAATCCTGAAAGGTGGTAAGACTATACGCTACCGGAGCCTGGTAAGCACAATGCCCGTGGATTCCCTGGCCGAAAGGATGGGCGACGAGGAGTTGGTAAGCCTGACAAAGGTCCTCTCCTACTCCGCCACTCATATTGTTGGGATTGGCCTCCGAGGTGTAAGGCCGGAGAACATTGGCGATAAATGCTGGGTGAGTCTTGTATTAGTAACCCTCGCCGCTGCGCTTATTCATTCTAATCAGCTCTCGTTCAGCTTTACTTTCCTGAAGATGATTGCCCCTTCTACCGCGCAACCATTTTTAGCAACTATTCTCCCAACAATCAGCCTCAGGCCAGTGTCAGGCTTCCTACAATCCGAAGAGCCGATGGAAGCGGGCCAGATGGCCATGAAGCAGAGGAGGGCCCTTACTGGTCTTTGATGATGGGTGAGCACAATGATCCCAAAGTTTTGGTCGCCCTGTCATTAAGTCTCTGCTAGAAATATCGGAATCTTCCAAGAAAGCAGTAAACGAGAGCAGAATCATCGAGGATACGATCAAAGGCTGCATCAACACCAATCTCATTGGTGCAAACGCTGAAATAGTCTCCACCTACCATAGGCGATTCGATCATGGTTTATCTCCCCCGTGGTGCCCCAATTCGGCTTGCTAATGTTGGATTGATAAGGATACCCAACCCCGACCCTCGAGAGGGATGATGTATTGAAGCAATTGCTTCCTAAGCTACAAGCCAAAGGAATATATTCGAGGGGTAGATTTGGTAGTTGGAAATATGAAGTCGGGAATCAAGACCATTCATTTATGCTCGGAGTAGAGGCGGTTGATAATATCCTACGCGAAGGTAACAGGCAGAGAGGCATAGTTGTTTTTTTCCCAAAGTACTGACTGAACGGACATCAAATAGATGCCGAACTCACCCTGAACTATCCCAATTTTGTTAATGGCCGGGCTAATGTCGAAAGGAGTCTGGCTGAGGGGAAAACCGTACTTCCGACATTTCCAGCAGATCAGAAGTTGCTGAAAAGGTAGAGAAATGGATATGAGCTAGCCTTGTATAATTAAGCTTGGAGAGGCATGGATCGGAGTGGGATGGACATTTTCTTCTTTTCTTTTTCTTGACAGCGCGAAGACTAATCGTGTTCATCATTACGGGCGAGAAATTTTGCGGGGTTTTTCTGTCAAAAGCTATGTTTTCACTGGTATGATACAATGCTGGACAATAGATAGCTCTCCATCCATCCATCATCCACACTCCTTGAAATGAGTCCTCGTTGGTATACGAGTCCTACATGGAAAATCACTCGTTTGTAGTCCTGCTCACGTGCGGGCAGCCGGTGACCAAGCCGTAGAAACGGTAGTCGAGTGCCGTCGAAACTATGATACCAATGACCCCGAGGGAACTTGCGAACAGGAGATTGAGGAATTGAAATTCACGAATGAAGATTTACCCATTATAGGGCGTGTTCGGCTTGTGCATGACAAATTTCATAATCATCAATGTCCTAAGTGATATACCGGTATATGTTCAAAAGTATGCGTTTTCCGGTGGGGGTACTGTACAAGTACCGTACAGTACAAAAATGTTTGTGCGAGATTTTTTTTTTTTTTTCGACAGCGATACACAATACCGATAGTCCAAGTTTCTATCATGACAAAGATCCATCACTCTAACACAGCTCAGCATGATAACCACCCCCTCCACTCTCCCAAATCCAACCGAGCAAGTCAACTGCCGACAATATCATATACCGGTATACCATAGTAATTCTGCAGACCCGGACATAACAAAACCAAAGCAAATTACATACTGCATTTTCCGATTACTGGTAGGGTACTGTACTAGTGCGCCGAACACCCCCCCCCCCCTTCCTCCCTCCGCCTTCCACCTCGATACATTACATGCTAAGAGATCATCTCATCTGCACGCCATGAAATAAAAAATATAAAAATATAAAAAAAAAACTGACAGACCAACGGGACCTCAGTGTACAATATTGCTTTTTTATATGCTGTTTTTATTTTTAGGCACTTTGTTCGGTATGGTACGGTATGCGCTGTGCCGATATGGGACTAGGAACGCCGATGGTGCTCGAGTACGGTATGATGGATACCGGTATGATAATTTACCTTTCGTGGAGATGGATGGCTTGTAAACTGGCATGAAAGCACTGTACTCGTACCGGGGGGCATATATGATATGTATTTCTGGAAAGTGAGTGTGTTGGGCGGCGCCACTGTTTTAACAAGGTATTTTTATCTGTAATGTTATCATACATGAGAATAATCTTGTATAATCACTAAACTATGTATCTCGATTGTTGCGGAAGACTAAACACGGACAAGTTGTCGCAGTGGCTCTTTCCCACAACACGCATAAAGGAGGTAAAAAAAAAAAAAGGTCTCGCAAGAAGTGTGATTATATGATCCAGCATTAGAGATGACAATGTTTTTTATGAAACCCTTTTGCTTACCCTAAACCCCTGTTGCATCGCGAAAAATACTGGGTTAAGAGAATATGATTCCATGGTATTTTCCCCTTTCATCATAATAATATTATATATAATATATATATACATATCTCAAAATACAGCTATGAGGTATTTGTGGCATGCCAGACAGGGACTTATTTTATTTTATCTTATTCGGCTAAGCCGGCTGTTTTCATCTGGGTTTATTCGTGAATTCTTCCATTTTTCGGGCTCGGGGTCCCGGACCCAATGCCGGGTGGCCTCATAACCTGTTACCGTATTTGTACCGTGCAACACTATAAAAGCGTAAAAATACAGCCATTCAAGCCAACAGGAGGAAAGAAAAGGAAGTGTGTCTGAAACGGAGATTTAAACCCTGGATTAACGCTGCGGTAGTGTCTGAGTACAGTTACCAGCTGTCTCCCACCCCAATCTAGCCTTCCACACTCAATATATCGTTCCCCATTCACCATTATCTCAAAGTAATAGCCCCACCAGCGGTAGCAGCGCATGTACACTCCCTCTCCTCCCGGCAGCACTTCTCAACACTCTCCATTTGCCTCCTAACCGCCATAACCTCGCTGCAAACCCACTCATCCTCCAAATCCCTTCCGACCGCCTCGAGCACCGCTTTTTTAACCGCGGGTGCAAGCACCCCCAAAAAGGTCTGCATTCCAAGCAGGCTCAGCAGGAAAACGGTCTTCTCCATCCTGGTGAATTCCCCGTCCAGCCCAGCATACATAGAGCTCTTAGCTTCGAGGTGAGCGAGGAAGGAGTCTATGTGGCGCTCGTAGGTGAGTTTGTTCTCGACGCTAGCGAGGAGGGCCGGTGCGCTGCGGCAGTGGAGGGATGGGGGGGCATTGGGCGGGCCTTCGGGAGAGCGGGAGGCTACGGGGGAGGGGATCTCGGAGAGGAGGTGGGTTAGTATTTGAAGGAGGGAGGGGTAGGTGTTAGAGGATTGGGCGGCTGTGTAGAAGGGTTTGAATAAGGGTGGCCAGGTGGATTTTGTTGCGTTTAGGCGGAGGAGGGAGCCGGTGGGGTTGGAACCGAGGGCGTCCGTGCGGTGGGGGCGGAGCATGGAGTAACCTCTATGAAAAGCGGGTTGGCGCGATTAGAAACTGGGGAGGGGGAGATCGTGCACTATACCTCGGCTGGTTGGTCGCGGGATCTTTTGGTACTAACGCTTCGAAAAGCATCCTGATGGGGACCCAGTAAGACGGGTACCTATATAAGTTTGTGAAATCCCCGCTTAGCAAGAAGGACACGTGTATCTATATATCTTAGTTTTCGAGAGCTTGTCGATTTCCTACTTGAAGCGTGCAACGTCCAATATCAAGACCATCCCGCCATTCTCAGAAGTATACCCACCAACAGGCGAGAAATGACCCACACCAGTTTGGCCAAGAGATGCTCTCGAGTAAGACACGGCCATCAGCTGATCTGAAGAGAATGTGCAGGCTTTCACAGCCTGGTGGAAAGCTTCGAAGGACCTGTTTCCAAATGCACGGGTTACATTTACCCGATCAACACCAGGAGAGTGGACGAACGTGGAGTCCGCGAAACGAGTTACCGCCTCGAGACCATTGCACGATGCCAGGCAGGAGAATTCAGCTAGCGTTATGCCGTTCTCTTTAACAACTTCCAAGGGCTGACAGCAGTCGAGCATCTCTATATCCCACTCTCAGTGTAAGTATGGGGCACCCGAAGAAAAGAAGGAAAAATCCTGGTATACCTACCTTGGGTGAACCATCTCCATGGCTTTCTCCAGGTAACGGCTGGATCAACTTTCAGAGCATTGAGAATCATGCACAGAGTTCCAATCCCGCAATCTAATGGGAGTTTGCGCGGGGATCAGCCTGTCCTCACTTGACTCTAAAGATGGGGCGGGGGCTAAACAAACAAGCCGGCTCATTTTGCTGTCCACAATTATCTCAGTCACCAATGCCAGTCAAAACCATACCGTTTAGTTAGGACATACCGTAAGAAATTGCTGTGAGAGGGGAAAAAAAGCCTCTAATCCACCTTCGGCTAATGCCTTGGCAAATAGGCGTTTCCCCTCGGGCGTATCATAGCCTATGAGATGCTCTCTCGGGAGCTCCCTCATGTAGTAGGAGGCTGGGGATTGCTGGTCCGCCATCCTGTGAAATGAAAGGGTAGTAGTGCGGCCTGTCGAGTACTGCGAAAGAGAGCTCCGGGGTATATAAAACTCTATATCTGAGCTTTGCATGTGTGCATTCAGGGGGAAGAGACAAGAAAACGGGGTATTTGGAGAGAGCGGGTATGGAGGGCTTTCCTCCCACCTTCCCGTGGGGAATGGATAAGATTTGGTGTGGGGATCGATGGGTTCGCCGCGTTTCACTGCCGGAGAGCCCGATTCCGAGGTCGCAAGAAGGTTCTTGGTAAGGCTAAGGATTTGAGGATGGGTCTTTATCAATCTTATCTGCCAGCATCTTGGAGATGCGGTGAAACATGTAATAACTTTAACCTTGGGCCATTCTGGGCCCAGGAAATGGGACGGGTCAGGTGGCCGAGCAGTAAAGGCGCTGGCTGGGTCGGAAACGTCAGTTCCCCCATACTGTAAATCATCATCTCACATGTATGAGTACCCCACTTGTGTTACCGCTACATACCGTAGTTCCAGAGACTTCCTTCGACGAGCAGGATTCTGCACACAGTCTGGCTACCGCTGGTGATATGTCACAAAACATAACGAGCACGCTGGGTGGGCGCAGCACCCTACTAAATTTAGCACAGCATCTGTGAGTTCCTGACATGCGGCTCTCGTTGTCAGGTCAACCACGCAGGAGCCAGCCAACAACACAGCAACTCATGCTGCTTCTGCGCGATTTCTTGTTGACAGCCAATTTACCATAGCTCCTTCATCCCTCCCTCCCGACCGCTCCCGATCTCCAGCATAGTATGCACTTCAGACTTGTCCCTTCTCCCTTTCTTTGTGGTCTAATGAGCTTGTACCTTGTTCACGAATCACGACTGGGTTAAATAGAAAGGTGTGCCGACCGCCAACTAATCACATATTTCCTTCCCATCAGCTGTTTGGGTAAAAAAAAAATACGCCCTGGCTACCCCTTTGTACACTTTAGCGTCCACGGGCTCTCCCACGGAGGCTGAATTCCCTCCCGATCCTTTCTTAAGGGAACCCGCGTCTGGCCTCGCTGAATTCTGGGCAAAGTTTACGTCTCGGAAGAGATACCCCCTCATGACAATGACCGCAGTGATCGCGGCTCTTGCCCTCATTATCGGGCTGGTGCTGGGCCTGCCTCAGGGGAATAGTGGGGGGAATGGTGGATCTGCTGGAGCCTCGGAGGGGAGGACAAGCCCACCATGGTACCCTAGTCGTACGTTCCTCATTCCTCTGTCACTGGCATTCCTTCCATCCTGGTTAAAAAAATTCCGTCGCTGACCTTCATCATTTCATCTTTAGCTAAGGGAGGGACTGTGGATCAATGGGCGGAAAGCTATGGGAAAGCCGCGAGTCTAGTACGAAAGATGAGCTTGGCCGAGAAAGTTAATGTCACCACAGGGACTGGGTGGTCGATGGGCCCCTGTGTAGGGAATACTGGAACCACAAATGTTGGTTTCCCTTCTTTGTGTCTTCAGGATGGGCCGCTTGGTGTCAGATTTGCGGATTCTATCACCGTGTTCCCGGCGGGGATCACAACTGCTGCGACATGGTCAAGGAAGCTTATGTACGACCGCGCAAGAGCGCTAGGTAAAGAGGCTAGAGGGAAGGGTGTTAATGTGTTACTCGGCCCTTGCGTTGGCCCTATCGGCCGGTCTCCTCTGGGTGGGAGGAATTGGGAGGGCTTCGGGAGTGACCCATATCTACAGGGAATCGCGGGGGGCTTGAGTGTCCAGGGGATACAAGACGAAGGAGTTATTGCAACTGCAAAGCACTTTGTTGCCAATGAGCAAGAGAAGTGAGGATACCCCCCCCCCCCCACCGATACTTCACAAGATGTCACTCGAACGGAATTTCTGGTTGAGGGAGAACTGCGTTGACTAATCCGGGGGTTTTAGATTTCGTCAGCTCTCCGAAATTTTGAGTCAAGGTTTCAAAGACGTCATTGCTCCTCTTAGTTCAAATATTGGTGACAGGGCATTAAGGGAATTGTACATTTGGCCCTTCATGGATACCGTTCGTATGGGACTGGGAAGTGTCATGTGCGGCTATAATCAAGTGAGTATAGCGTGCGGCCACTCCCCCAAGAGTGAGAAACATATTAACCCTTTGCCTTAGATTAACAATTCGAATGCCTGCCAAAATAGCTATATCTTGAACGGGATACTTAAGGACGAATTGGGATTCCAGGGGTTTGTGATGAGCGATTGCATGTGCCTCCTTGAGACGTATTTGCATCCTTTCTAACAGGTTTCAGGGCTCGGCCAGAGAAGCGGGGTTGCCAGCGTTCTTTCCGGAATGTAAGCAACGCATTAAGGGGGATCATGGAGATCGGACGCTGATATCAAGATAGGGACATGACTATGCCTGGAGACGGGCTCTTGTGGGCTGATGGAAACTCACTCTTGGGTCCGCAGCTCACTCGGGCCGTGTTGAATGGTAGCGTACCTATCGATAGATTGGATGACATGGTTCTACGGATCGTGGCAAGGTGAGTCTCCCCCCAAAATCATGTAGGGGTTTTCAGGCTTACCCTGTGCTTCGCATATATAGCTGGTACCAAATCGGGCAGGATGATGCGTCTTACCCCCGCCCCAACTTTTCCAGTTGGTTCAGGACCTCCGTTGGCCCAACCTATGTCGGCGCGGGCCCTTCTGCAGGACACAGCCTGCAGAACCTTTATGCAGACGTTAGGGATGACCATCACGAAGTTGCAAGGGCGATCGCCGCCGAAAGCATCACACTCCTAAAGAACATCAATGGGGCTCTACCACTCAAATCTGGAAAAGAAGCGAAGAAATCTATCATGATATTTGGAAGCGATGCTGGCCCAAATCTCCTGGGCCCTAATGGCTGCCCCGACAGAAGTTGCAACAATGGAACCTTAGGACAGGGCTGGGGCTCCGGCAGTGCTGAATACGCATACTTGGTCACGCCTCTTGAAGCCATCCAAGCAAAGGCATTGGCTGATAGAACAATGGTTGAGTATGTTTTGGATGATTATCACTACGGTAGAATTAATTTCACAGCCGAAAAGACGCCAAACGCAACCTGCCTGGTTTTTGTGAATAGCGATTCCGGGGAGGGATATACATCCGCCGAGGGTGTGTTAGGAGATAGGGTTGATCTGAAACTGTGGCATGGAGGTGATAAGCTGATCCTCTCTGTTGCCGAAAGATGTAGCAACACCATTGTCATCATTCATTCCGTAGGCCCTGTTGACATGGAGGTAAGATCCCTAAATTGTCTGCTTTTTGGGCGTCTACTAATGGGGGATAAGGCCTGGATTGAGCACAAGAACGTTACCGCTGTTTTAATGGCACACCTTCCTGGCCAGGAGAGTGGCACAGCGTTACTAGATGTCCTCTATGGAATAACAAATCCCAGCGGCAGGCTTCCTTACACAATAGGGAAATCACTAGCGGATTACGGCCCCGCAGCACCTATCATGATGCAACCTGGGGGATCCGTCCCACAGCAAGATTTCTCCGAAGGCCTTTACATCGACTACCGCCACTTCGATAGGGAACGGATAGCCCCCCGTTTCGAATTCGGCTTCGGGCTTTCTTACACCACCTTTGAATTCTCTAACATGAGAATCACCCAAACCCGTGCTCCAACCGAATTCCCGCCAGCCCGGCCGGTTGGCGTCCCCGCACCAGAGCTAAACTCCACAATTCCTCCCTCCTCGGAACTCGGTTTCCCGCCGGGCATAAAGCGCTTGCAGAGGTACATCTACCCATACCTCAACGACACAAGCATCACGAAATCGCCGGAACCATACCCATACCCGTCCGGATACTCCACAACTCCACACGAACCTTCACCTGCCGGGGGCGCACAGGGTGGCCATCCAGCGCTCTTTGACGTGATCTTCCATGTTACTGTATCTGTCAAGAACACCGGTAGCGTTCCAGGCAAAGCTGTCCCGCAGTTATACATTAGCTACCCGAACAGCACAGGCGTGGACTTTCCCGTGCGCTCTCTGAGAGGGTTTGAGAAAGTTGGTGCTGGACCGGGCGAGACGGTGGATGTTGGGTTTGACATCACGAGGCGGGATATAAGTTATTGGGACGAGAAGAGGGGGAATTGGAGGATCCCTCTTGACAAGGAGGGGAATATCGGATCTTATGAGATTTTTGTGGGGGATAGCTCGAGAGGGGAGGGTGTTACTGGGAGGACGGAGGTCGTTCAGGTTTGAATAGGGATGCAGATTTAATCATACCCCCCCCCTTTTTTTTTCCCTTTCTTCTTACTTTGGCGGCATTAGTGGCTTCGGGATAGCGGAGCTGGTCTTGAGCATGATATCATATGATGTTTCTTTTCTTCCCGGTCTTTAAGGTTGGGGTATATGGTACAGAGCGTGGTCAAGGTTTGCTATGAAGGATATGGCTACAATATGATGTACTCGTACCTTATGAGGGTTGTGTATTTTTATGGAATATTATGGCTGCTAGAGAGTACGAGCCTATATGTGATGCTAGTGTTTCTTTTTCTTGTGGCTCTATCAATTGTCTATCGAGATTCCGCCCTGCAGGCTAGGTTCTCCTGTCTCCCGATAATCCTGTCCCCCCCCCAATATCGCGACCCAAGGACTAGCTATCATACTATGCTATGTGCGGACTATTGTTCAGAGAGACTACTTCTACGCGCCTATTGTACAGTATGCAAACGATATGGCGTGCTTGCTCAAAACCCGACTTGAAGGATTCACTTTGCAGTCGATTAATAATGACTAGGGAAGCCCGTAGCGCGGTAACCTAACTAGCGAGTGAGCGAGTGAGTGAAGACTTGCCGACTAAAAGATGATAATATTATGATTAAATAAGTACCAGTCCAAAGCGCATTGGATTATCGAGAAGATGCCACCGGAGTACGATACTAGTACATCCGGTCCATTCCTCTCTCCCCACATGAGTGTTGAAAAGTAATTTATGGCAAGAACTGTATGTGTGAGCACTGCTTTAGTATGGGCTATTGAGGAACTCTCTGGCGGCAGATAACCCTGCGGTCAGGACCTTTTGTGGGTACAGTTCAGTACCGGTAGACTATCTTTTTTCCTTTTTTTTTTTTTTTCCTTCCGGAGCACTACCGTGCTCGCACTAATATCATACCGTATATGTAGGGTCGAAGAGTATCGCTGTCTTTCCGTCCCGGAGGGAAGCGCTAATACTAATAGTGGCGGAAGGCTGAAACTCAGCCAGAAGGGTCACTTGCGACTGCTCGCGTCGATTGGTCTCCTCCCAGTTTACCCGCGAGCAAGCTTGAATGGCGAATATCATACCCCTAACGCCCGCAGATCAGGGCTGCGACCCAAATCGGCCGGTGACAGGCGAAAAAGTGAATTCGTCGGGGTGGACTGCGGTAACGGGAGTGCCCCTTACTGATATCCGTTCGGCACCAGCCGGTTTACATCGTGGCCCCGTTTGAGGCCGTAATTGATGCTGGTACTGTACGAGTACATTGTATGGTACGGTAGTCCTTCTGCAGTGGTACATGGGGGATGTGAAGGCTTTATGTTCACTGTTAGCTTGTGTTTCTAGGGCTTTGGGGAAGACCTATAATACCGGTACTGTGCTCGGACCTTTCGGATTCCAACTCGTGGCTATTCTTTTCGCGAACAACCGCCCTGGTTCGGATTCTGGGCCCCTTTGCGCATCGCTTGGCCATGAAGAGCGACGGCCCGGCAGCTGAGTAAATTACCGAAGGCTTGAGCGAAAAATGGTGTTTTTGGGAAGGAGGGATTATTCCTCGGTTAGTACCCGCAGCCAGTAGCGACGCCATTGGTGATGTGTGAAATCACCCACACAGGCTCATGCACACAAGTTCCGAAAATATTGCCCCGCAGCCAGGGCCTATAATAAGGCCCGGCGAAACAACACTTCTCATCCCATCACATTGCGGATGGCGTCGTGTGGCAAGCTGTGCGCTACTTGTACCTACATTTTGGCTTGAAAGGAGGCAATCGATTTGAAAAACATAATGGGCTGCCGACACTCGGCATTGGGTTCGCATTGAGCTCTCGAGCGGGGCGTGTTGTGTTAGCTGCCCTAACCGCCGTGGGGTGGTGGGATTCGGTGGTGGAGAGCGACGATACGGTAACTATTGATCCGAGAGCTCGATCCTGCCCTGCGCTATAATATCACTGCTGCGCTCTAGGAAGGGGGCAGTCAGTTAACCACTGGGCAGTAACTGCATTATTTTACGAGTATGGTACCCGTACCATGCTCGGGTAGGCATCATGATGGCTTCTTAGTGGAGGCATTCAACTTGGTGTTTGAAGGTGTCTTTCTGGTACCAAAGTTCCGGGTTGATTGGTTCTGTATGCGTGAATTCGTTACGTTACCCCAGTCTCCCGACTTGAAAGGTCTAGAGCTAGAGGAGAATGATTGAAGTTTGTTTGAGAGCCCCGAGAAAAGGTTTCTTCCCTCTCGGGCTGAATGCCTCTAGCGAAAAGTAAATGGTGATACAAATCGACTTGTATGGGGGAGCAGACCAGTCGTATTAAATGTGGCGCCCTGCAGCACCCGCACCCTGCCGGGGGGAACTCTCTCACACGTGGATTGTGAGCGGGGTTCGTTTTGGAGAACCGAGACACGTCCAGAAAATGACAGACTGATGAGTGGTGCCGACACTCGAATTGAATTTTCGAAGGGGTCTGGAAGTGTTGAGGTGTCCCAGAACTACGGTATATAAGCTGGTGTCCATCCAGGGCATGGGATGGTTAAGGCCCCGTCTGATTTCGTCTCGGGCTTCCCAGTTCTCATTATCGGTACGGTATGTCTCTTCTAGATCCTTATCACCAGGCCACCATTGCAGCCAGCGCTGCCTTTCTCACCCAGCAATTGCTCTCCCCCATTCCCGAAGTCTCAACAACGAAGTCGATCCTCTTCTATACTATCGCGAACGGCCTCTTAGCTCTTGCACTGAAGAGAGCGGGGATTGATGTGTTTCTGCACTTCCTTGCACGCATATCCTTGATCAACATTAGCTATCTCACAAGCTTGACATTTTTCACCATCGTACACCGTCTGTACTTCCACCCTCTCAGAAACTTCCCGGGCAGTAAAATTGCGCGCTTATCGAAGCTCTATGAAGCCTGGCTCAATTACAATGGCAGGAATGGCTTGGTAGTGCGGGACTTGTGTCGGAAACATGGAGACTTTGTACGAACCGGACCCAATGAACTTGCTATTAGCAATGTCGAGGCGGTAGAGATTATCTGGGGGAGGACTCGGCCAACAGCCAGGGGTCCTTTCTACGAATTTGCAAACTTTGTAGGAGAAAGGCATTTGGTTAGCCAGAGAGATAAAGCCGTACATGCTGCATGGAGACGCATTTGGTTTGCGCCGGGCTCTTGAAGTTTTGAGGAGCTTTTCACTGATTTTGGTTAATATGTAGGGACAGGGGTTTCACCAGTCAGACAGTTGCCAGCTACAGCCCCCGGGTGAAATATCATGTCGATAAGATGATTTCCATTCTCGAAAGGCTCAACGGGGAAGAGACTAACTCTGTGGATATCTATGACAATATGACTTTTGATATGTAAGTTCCTGGCCACCATGATTACTGTATGATGCTTTGGACGGACACCGCGCTGACAGCTGGGCAGCATGGCAGATCTTGGGTTTGGCCAGAAACCGGAAGAATCGATGCAGAGCGGAGCTGGCGATCCCTCGTATATGAGGTTTTTGCATGGCTGGATGCGCGCTTCCACTGTGAGATTTAAATCTCTGTGCCCTAAAAGAAAGATTGTAGGAATAGTGTTTTGACTAGTTCCGTTAGGTCCTAACTTCATTAAGGAATCTATGTTGGCTTCCCAATCTACGAGCTCCCTGCTCCATCTGACAGAGTATAACAGGTGAAATCGGGGCCTATATTCCGCAGGACGCTGAAAGCAAAGAGTTCGACAAGATGGGAGAGAAGATGCTCGGAGCCCGGCAGAAAATGGGAAAATCCCGTCAGGACATATTCACTCACCTCCTCGACCAAGACAATGAAAGCGGCGTGAACTTCACTCAGACCCAACTTCTGGTAAACACCCAGCTGTTGATGGTAGCAGGCACAGGTTTGTCCACGCCTAGTTCCCAAGCCACCACATCCATGAGGCCAAACCTACTAAAACGTCCGCTAGACACGACATCCGTAACTCTGACATGTTTGTTCAGGCTCCTTTCCATGCACGCGGAGAAGCAGCAAAAACTATACAAGGAAATTATGGAAACCTTCCCCAACGGCGAAACCCCTACATGCGCAAACACAGCAGCCCTTCCATTCCTTAATGGCGCAGTGCAAGAATCCCTGCGCATGTGGCCGGCTGCTCTGCCATCGGGCCCTCAAGCTACTACTCCACCAAGCGGGTATACAATTGCAGGCACATTTGTTCCCGGAAACGTGGAGGTTCGAATTCCCCCCATGACTATCATGTCTGGTTGGTCCGCCCTCCCTCCCCTCCTCCTTCCCTTCCTCCTTCCTTCCATGCAATCGAGGGGATTCTAGGCCTAACGAACAACCAGACGCAAGATACTTTCCCCAACCCGATGAATTCCTTCCAGAAAGATGGACATCCGAGATGCCGGAGCTAGTTAAAGATAAAAGAGCTTTTATCGTTTTTGGATTGTATGCTATCCCCACCTTTCACATGCCCCAATACCTAATGAGAGGCGCAATAGTGGAGCACATTCGTGTATCGGCCGCCCTCTCGCAATGAACGAGATGCGAACCACCGTGGCGAGGGTTATCCAGAGGTTCGAAGTCCAACTCGGTGAGTCTTACGATGATAGAGTGTTTAGGGACGGGTGGAGGGATTACTCCACGGTAAAGTTGGGGCCTTGTCCCCTCAAGTTTGTGCCTAGGAAGATGTAAGCTAGAGACGGAGATGTTTCCTTTTATTGGGTAGGAATAACTTTATGAGGCATGACGTTTGAGAGAAATTATTCTCTTCTATATCCCTGTACTCTACCATTGAAAGTCAAGAACCGAATGGGAGAAATTGTGCCCGCGTGATCCCTAATCCACCGCTGGTGCTCATGGGCATTCGACTATTTGCACTCGCTATACTTTAAAGTGCGGGCTTGAGTGTAATGCATGGGTAAAATCAAGGCTTTGGCATATGCTACCTACTGCCCAACCCAAAGTCTAAACCCAAAAGGTTCAAGATATCAAGAATGCCCCGTGAATGAGGATCCGGTGTCAGACGCCGGAGAGAAAAATTGACGAAAGAAAGAAAGAAAGAATGCATGACACCAATCACTCACACCTTGCCATTCTTGCTTCTGGAGCTCATGAAGGGAAACATAAAATAAGTATACTCAAACCCCGTTGCCCCGTATGAGATGCTGCGAATCCAGAATCTTTCCACAACAGAAAGTGAGTCGTTGTTCCGGATAGCCCATTGTACCGGACAAATTCTTAAGCTTTTGGCCATCCGGGATAGCTGAGTGTGAGTATACGGCACCGGCAGACCACTCACAGGAGAGGTGCTAAAATATTTACGCAAGGAATCATGAGATGAACCACCAGAAGCCTTCGACACACGTAGTCATACCCGCAGTGCTCCTGTCATGCTGTGCCGTGCCGTGCCGTACACTGCAGGCCCGGATGGGGATGGGGAGGGGGGGAGTGGAAGAAAAGGACACTCTAGTCAGTCAGCATCTAAACAAACAAACCTTCACGGAACAGATGAGTAAATATTTATCGCGATTCGCCAATCCCAATGCCTCCTTGCTAGATGAGAATTCTCTTCCCTCTCTCTCTTTCTCTCTCTAGGGGTACACGGAAGGAAGGTCAGATCCAAACGAGTGACCCGACGGTACACAGACCCGAGTTTCCAAAAGAAGAAAAAATTTCCTCCCATTGTTATTATTTTTCACGGGGGGTCAGGCCGCGACTTTTGATTGTAGTGCCGTAGAGTATAGTCCAGTACAGCAACGGGACAGAGCAGTCGTTGATCCATCGAGTGATTCTTCATGATAAGTGGACAATTGGCCGGCAATTGTGGTTGGTTCCAGCTCGTGCAGCTGAGAGCTATGATAGCAGTGATGGCCGAGTCGGGGGGGAATTAGTGAGACTAATTGTGTGACCAGGTTTGGGTTATGGAACTTTGGTATTCGGATCATATCATACCCGCCGATAACTTCGAATCCCGATTTACGTGGAAAGGTTCTGTAAGTTTCTGCGGATTGAATTGGAAATCCCCCCCCCCCGCCCCCCCTCCACGCCGAACAGAAATTTGGCCGACACTAGCAAAGATTTTTAGCCGACGCTAACAGGGCCATGGCTTACTATAAGGGGCCCTATTTCCTCGCGATAGATCCCACGTTTTCAAACACAGACCCTCATCAGATCCAACTTCCCTTCAAGCACAGTCGCACCTCGCTATCCCGGACGACCAAAATCTGAAGAACCCTATCCGGGACAACGGGTCAGATTTTGGTGCAGGTTTTTTTGAATTCACGGGATTTCATATGGGACAGTAAGGTATGCATACATATCGTCGAATTCCGGGACTGTGAGGTCTGACTGTACTCTAGTTGTGGGCTTAGACATCAACCGCGGTACAATCGGGTTCAATGAAGAAACCTATAGAGTAAGTCTCCCATTTGCTACCCTGAAACAGAGAAAACACATGTTCTAACCTTACAGATCGAATTGCTTCCTGGGTTGCCAACGGGTTGAGTGAGTGAGTGTCGATATCGAGGGGGTACTAGTTAGTACCCTGGGCGATACGACCCTATCTGATGCGTCAGAACTTGTGCTTAGCACTAGTGGCATTGTTCTGAAGTGTGAGATAATTGTGATCCCTTTTTTAGTAGCCGTCAACCTCCTCCCTCCCTGCTAACTTTTGTGCTTTGTATGGTGGGCAGTCTCGTTAAGCCTAAAAGTTAGAAGCACCATTTCTACCAGCACGTTTACCACTTTATTTAACAAACTCTTCGCTCTGGAAGAACAGGTTAATATTGACCAAGCTGTTAATATTGATTAATAGAGTGCAACTATTGGCGACGGGCCAGGAACCCCTACCCACAGATATCAATGACATATGTCAATCTAGTACGCAAGAGTACACAGGTGCCTCACCTAAGGCTCCCTTGTCGGGGATGATCTTACCCCACGGTATTCGTGTGGTCCAATTAGAGTAGGTTGTTCTACTTTAAAGGAAAGGTTTTGTCAAATCGGGGCGATTGGACAAGAAGTCATAATATTATGTAAAGTACTAGTACAATATTATGATACCTCATTACAATCCTCTTGAATTCCCCCCTATTTTATTTCAAACTTTTCCCTGCAGTTCTCTTTATATCACATGATAAATGGCACGAGGCATCTAGTGCTAGGGAACCAACATCACGACTTGTTAGCAACGTATTATTACTCCTACGGGTAGATATTCGCTTTCGTACCCGGTACTGTACAGGCCCTGATAACCCTGATAAGGCTAGTAAAGCAATTCTGCAGGCGAGATCTGAATCCAACCTCCCCTTCCTTCCTTCCAATTCATTCATACATAACCACCCGCGTCGCATTCCACTCGCACGGCACAAGCTCAATCCTCCGCTCGGTGAAAGGGGGGGATAGCTGTCTCTTGAGGGACGGACGACCTCTGCGGGGGGGATCTGCTATGTCGTACTTGTATTCAAGCATAGTATCGTAGTAGTCTGGGCTACTCGGCCTCCTCAGGACCCCGGCGTTCCGCGAAATGATCATAGGGGGCCATGGTTCTACATTGATAGTCAAGAGTGCGGTATCGTATCATACGAGTGAGCATGATCAAATCTATGTAGAAGCTTTAGAAAGTTTAGATCCCGCTTTCCCCCCCTCCATCTTTCCCCCAAACACCGCGTAACTTATCATACCCAAAATATAAAAAGTTTTTTATTCTGCAGCACAACTACTCGAGCAAATTACTGTATCCCATCGCGATCCCACAACTCCCTGTGGGCTGGTACGGCGATAATGCCGGGTCCTGTACGGTACAGTACTGTACCGTGGGAGAGCTTAGCCCCCGCTACCTATCCAATCACCTCCCGGACATGAGGAAATCATCCGTCAAATTTATACGGGTGAATACCGTACTACCTACGGGAGGACCGTCAGGCGCTAAGTTAGCTAGCTGGTGCGTCCGATTGAGATTCTTACTTCAACGTAAAGAGTGTCCGATGGTCCTCGCCAGGTAATGTGATAGTCTACCAGTATCACACTTGTAGTGTTATCCACGACGGAAATTTTGAAATGCACCGGGGGGGGTAAGGGTAAGTAAAGCGGAGGGAGTGCGATTAGCTCCCATATTACCGGTAGGTCCCGCCCGCCACTCAGGGAGCAGTATGATACAGTACGGTACACTGTATCGTGGTGCCGCTGTGGCAGGAGTAGACTACTGGTACTCGAGTTGAGGGTCCGAACAGCTTTTCCCACACCCGGGCAAAAGAAGGCCGAGATCCGCAGTTTGTGTGCCTCACTTGTGCTCCCCTAAGTATCATACCCGGGTACGGCCCACCGGAAGTTACCTAATACTCAGGCCACGGAATCTAGTGCCGTGTTTCCGAGGGTGGTACGGTAATACACCAGCCGAGTGGGACCAATCCGGCAACCCGAGAAAAAGGAACAAGAGAATAAATACGGTAAAAACCAGAGGGTTATGGTAGAGTGCTACCGTATGGGAACTGATAGCTAGAAGGCCGACCAGTGACTACCGGTAGGTATCGTCTCACACGTTCCTCGCTCCTTCCAAGGCCGGGTAACCTTTTCCGGAGTAAACAAGCAACCACAGGAGAAGTCGAGAAAGTGCTGTTTTGAATTCATGCACTTTCGATTCCCCCAAGAAACCCAATGCTCCCCACCAATATCCACAGCCTTCTCCCATCACTGATGCCCCACAATCCATCCTCCACATAATATCACATCCCCTCATGAACTCCACCACTACCGCCACTCATACCCGCCGGGGCAGGGCCCACCGCCCCTGCTCTGAAGCACTCTGGTTGGACGGATAGAAGGGCTCAAATAAGTGACAGCCAATGACCACGAACGGATACCGCACAATAACGCATCCAGCGATCCCTCCTGGCACCTAAGCTAGGTTGGGCTAATCCAATCCGATCAAACGACGGCGCAAGCGTGAGCGAAGGAGCATGCCGTTATTTCAGCGTGATCACGATCACGATAAATGAATAGGCAGGTAGAGGTGGTGGAAATGGTCGTTTTTGAAATAATCGGCATGGGGGGCGAGGTTTAATAAAGTTAAGCGACAGCGAGGGGGCAATGGATTTCCCAATTCTCGTGCGACACTCTGGGCTCGAATAACTTTTTTCTCTCCCCCATGTTACCGATGGGCTCTGGGAGTGGCATGTCGGTAATAATGCCCGTACTTGCGCCTATGTTGTCCCTCAGCGATTTTCCTCTCTTTCCCCTTTGGATGAGGGACTCCATCGACGTGTAATGGCAGTGCGGCAGTCCAGTGAATTCCTACCGATGGGCCTGCAGTACGAGTACTTGTACGGTGAGATGGGATGGCAATCCCTGTAATAGGGCACCTATAAAAAATACGGTTTCAGTTGAGCTACAAAAGGGAGGGCAGGAAAAGTACCGATATGTCACTGTTGCTCTCTGCTATAAGGAGAGATAGTCTACCCCTCCCATTCACCGCAGATGCCGGGTGCTCGCGGGCGGGCTCGGAGAGGAGGACCATCCCCGCCAACAGTGCGCAGTTACAGGTACTCGAGTACCGGTATGATACATCAGCATGGGGATGAATACGGGTGCAGCAGTACTCGAGTACTCGAGTGCCCCGCTCAATGGTTAGGAGTGCAGCAGGACATAAATGGCGATTGGGATTGGTTGAGGATTCCCTCCATTTTCCACCGCTTCGCTCACGGTATGCGGCTTTATGCCGCTTTTCGCTGTCGATGCACCATTGATTGGCAGAGGGTGGGGCACAGGAGGGGGTGGGTGTGGGTGAATTGTTCCGCTTTCCCTTTGAAACAGGCTGCTGATCACTTTAGCTGTGGCCTCGCTCTCACCGGCTATGGGAGTTCGGGGCATGTACGGTATGGTAAACACGTAAGCCTGCATACCGGTAGGGAAGGATTTCATTGATCGAATAGTTTTTTCGATTCGAGTGAGAAGTTATGATCTCGCACGGACCGCTACTTGTATGGTGATGAATTGGAGGGTGTTTGGGCTGGGGTGGAGGAGGGGAAGTGGTTTGCGGCGTGGGCGGGTTGGGAATTTGTCCCTGTAGAGTACGGCATGTACTGCACACGTACTCGAGTATAATTCCCAATTGGCGCACTGTACTGTACCGTAGGGTTACGGTACGGTACTCGCTGCCCGCATCGTCGAGTCGAGATTTGTGTTGATTGTGCTCACGAGCTTCGCCCTTACGCTTCAGCCAGCCCCCGGCCCAATCCTGAGCCCAACCTTTTACACACACCCGCGATAATTTGCATACAATACTCCTTCTCTTCCCTCCCCCCTTCGTTATCCTCCTCCCCCCTCCCCTCTCCCTTCCTTTCTTTTCCTCCCTTGATTCTCTCCTTCCCACTTGTTTCTGGCATGAATCTTGGGAAAAAATCAGAATTATGACCACCGCAACGACCACTATTTCTCCCGCCGCGACAATGTTTCTACTCCCTTCTCATCATCATCATCATCACCATCATGCGCGGGTCGGGACACCCATACCCCCGCTGGCGCCACCGCCTCAATCTCCGGAGGAGGCGGTTGCAGAGCTTGAAGCAGAAGTCGAGCAATTCCGCCGGCAGCTCTACCTGACACGGGGACTGTCCTATCCCGGCCCTAAGATGACCGCCGCATTGCCTCGGCGGAATACGACCGTTGCTGCTGCTCGGCAACAATACGGCTTCGACGAGTTCCCCAGAAAGGTGATCGGGTCGTCGCCAGTTGCTAACGCTGCTGTGATTGCCGGCACTACTGCTACTGCTACTGCTGTTGCTTCTGCTGCTGCGGGTATGTCTTGCTTGCTTGCTTACGTTTGAAACGGGGGAATACATGAGAGGAGGGAAAGAAGGAGAGGGAAAAAAAAGAGAAACATGTCTTCCCCATCATCCATCCCTTTCGAGTTGACGTCGGAAGTACTTTCTTTCCGATAAGATCGATTGATTGAACGAATGGAGAGTGGTTGCATGTAATGTCAGGAGGAGGAAGGGAGAAAATAGAGTCTTGTGAGTGCAATGCAGCAACTAACCAGGGGGCGTTCTTGATTCTTAATAGCGGCTGAGCTCAAGACGGAATTCTCGTCATCCTCATCACCACTGTCCTCCTCCTCATCGACATCGTCACTATCCTCATCATTAATTACTGCTGCTTCCGCTCATCCAAACAGCAGTGGTGAACATGGTGACAATAACGCCCGTCTGCCAAAGACCTTCTCTCAGTTAATGGAAGACCTCATTAGAATGCACTCGTCCACCGCCTCGCCTTCTGGTCAGAAATATTCTAAGGACCTGCTACAGGGGACGATCGGGCATCATAAGGATGCCATGTTTGGCGCTGGAACTTATTTTGGGAGCTTCACCTGAGTTTAGGTACTCTTTGCCTTTTATTGCCCTTATCGGGGTGGGGTAGCAATGTGCGGGTGTTTCATTTTACTTTTTCTCCCTGGTCTTGTTTCTCTTATCTATTGGTCGCTGGGTGGATTAACTTATCAATGGGGCTTACCGGTATTTCGTTTGCCTCATTGGATGGGATGGTATGGATGGTGAGGGTCCACTGTCCCTTGGGGGTATTTTTTTTTTACTCACCTATCTCCCTGTTGTACCGAAGGTCTCGGACTTTTTTACAACATTTCTTGGACCAGACGTCTCGAGCATTTCCCCATCCTTCTCTTCCCATTTAAAATTTCATTGCGGGTGTTCCCCCCCCCCGTTGGTGGGATTTCCTCCTTTTCTTTCTGTTATTTTTCATTCAAGGGGGAAGGAAAAAAAAAGTCTCTATAGCTCCCTTGCTGAGCACTTTGTACATGTACTGTAATTAGCATCATATCATAACCATCGCCGACATACCCTACCCGCGGTAGTTGGATTCGGTTTGATCTGATTATTATATATATATATTAGTTTGGCACCATCTATCACATAGTAGGAATCTGGTGGAGTGGAATCACCACCGTCATCGCCTCCTTTTTGGGGGGGTAAAGGGAGGAAAAAAATCAACCTTTCAACACCCCCTACACAGATGATATGCTGGTACCGGTATCAGACATCCAGCGGAAACCCCGTCCCCCCAGCCGCGACCGCAGCCAGGAACTTCTCCCTCTCAACCTCCATAGTTCCACGGACTTTCATTCCAGCGACAAGACTAGCCCCAACCCAACTTCCAAAGCTTTCCACGCCGGCGACCCTGCCACGACCACCAACATCATCTCCTCCCCGTTTGCCACTCGTATCATTTGGTCCCTCTGGCAAAGCCGTAGCCTCCCTGCGCCATTGATACCCCTCTTCCACCGCCTCCTCTCGCGCTTGCACCTTCTCCTTCCCCTTCTGGGCGACCCTCCTCCCGACACGCTCCCACCCCCTACACTTTACCAACACACGTACCTCATCAATTACCCGCTTTTTCAGGCCGGGAACGCAGCTTCCCCCGCCCGTGACAATGATGCGCTGCATGACCGCGGCGCGGACGTCGATGGGGCAGTCACGGAGGGCGCGGTACACAAGCTCTGGGAGGGCGTAGTCGTCGTCGTCGGGGTGTTCGGGGGTGGGTGAGTCGGTGGTCGTGGTTGCGAGGAATGTTTTTTCAGCGGGCGCCGAGAGTTTGGTGAAGGGGAGCGATAGTGTTGTTGGGGGTGTTGGTGTTGTTAGGGGGATTGTTATTGTTTCGTCTTGGTGGTGTGGGGGGGAGGATTGTTGGCACCAGCCGGTTCTGCTGAGGATTTCTTCGATTTCCCAGTCTTCAATTTCACTGTCGTTGCCGTCGTGGTGGGAGGAGGAATACTCCTCTTGGAGAAATTTCCGCCAAAAGTCCCGGTACGTGCGGCCCCCGCGACGACTGCGTTTACCGGGGCCTACTACTCTCATTTCGTAGACTACGTTCACAACCGCCTCACTCCAGCCGACGTCCAGCACCACCCCGCTCCTAACTCCCGCTCCGACGACCGCCATAACGGGCTCTTGCAATAACATCACGGCCGGCATTTGGAAGTGCACGAATAGGCTCTTGACCACCTTGCTCAACGCGCCCACATCCGTCTCCGTCTTCACCAATAACACTATCCTCCGCGTTTTTGAATCCAGCAATAGGTACTTATTATACGCAACCCTCACACCCCGCTCAAGCACGTCCTCGATGATCTCCGCATTGTGCCATAATTCCCCCCGCGAGGCGGGTGAGGTTCCCATCGGCGAGTACCATCCCCCCAAACCCCAAAGGTCTCCCGATCGCTTCCAGAATTCGGGATTGGTCCAGGGGAGGATGCAGCGAGGGTGCGGCTCGTTTGGGTATCCGGCTTGGAGGTTTCGCGTGCCGATTTGGAAGATTAGGGGGTCTTCGGAGTGGTGTAGGTGTAAGGTTGAGGATGGGGAATGGCGTGGGAGGAGGAGGGTGCTGGTGCTGCTGGGTGTGAGGTTGGTTGTGTTGGTAGTGGTGGCTGCGGTGTGTGCGGAGCCGCGTAGGCGGTAGGGGGTTAATGGCGCAGTGGATAGGGAGGATGTCATGTTTGGCATGGGGAATTGAGGTGGTGGTGAGGGAGGTGAGCACCACACAGATACCTGTGCTCGATATAATTACAAGGATATGTAATGATAAAAAAGCTGGGGTTCCCCACCCGCCACAAACTTGGAACCCCCAAAGCCCCAATCTTGGCACCTAATAATACAGTTTCAGCCTCACCAAGCCAGAAGGAGCCCAAAAAAAAACCCAAAAACTCACCACCACCACCATCGCATCATCCCCATAACCAACCAACCAACCCATAAGCCAACCACCATACTACATCACAAAAAAGGTCAGTCTACTCTACCTCCCTTACAATTCCCTCCTTCCCCTCCTTCCCCTCCTTCCCCTTCATCCCCGCAATGATTAGGAATGTTTCATGCACCACTCTCAGACTCCTCGTCTTTTTTTTTTTCGTGGAGTCGGTGATGAGGATTGAACTCAAACGATCTATATGAGCACTTTTGATATCAAAACTTTCACTTTGTTTTTCTTGCTTGTTTTTGGCTTGAAGGTGGGGTTTTGCTGATGGGTTTTTGGGGGTAGAATTTGTCTTTGGCATCTGTGGTATGGCATGGTAGGTATGGTGTGGTGCGGTGCGTTGTGGGGTTGTGCGGTGGTGGGTACTTGGTGGGTTGTGTGGTGGCTTTGGGGCTGTTGTACTGTACCTAACGCACGAGATAATATTATAGAAGGGATAATTGGAGTTTCGTGATGGTATATAATTTCTCGGTTAGAATAGTGCACATCTATCGGTTCGTATTCATGATAAAAAATTACACGCGCCCATCTGCCCGCTACTGCTGTTTCTGCGCCTGCCTGGACAACAGGAGATACACATTCTCCCCAACCTTATCAAAGAACTCCTTCCGCCTCATCTCCTCGTCCTCCACTCCGACTCCAATGCCCTCTCCATTGAGGGTGTCCAGATCCCGCTTCTGCGAGCTGACCCAGCGCTTCACGAAGCCGGCCGGCTCGACGCTCATGGCGTGCCAGAAGTCGCGTTTCGCCTTGGAGTGATTGACACTCTGGACAAGCAGCGCGATATTCTCGTCGATCGTGGAGATCTCGCGCAGGCCCTGGAGGTTCGAGGGGGAGGCGAGGAGCGCGCTCATTCTGGCCCGGATGGGGTCATCAACGGAGACGGTCACATCGTACACTGCGGGGGAGAAGTGCTGTGGGACGTCGCAGCGGATGGTGTAGGTTATTGATATGGGCTCCAGTGGGAGGATGTGGGCGAGGGTTAGCTCGGGGATTTGGGGGAAGTAGAGGCGGTCTTGGGCAAAGATCTGTTTTTTTGTAATGTTAGTGGTTGTAGAATGGTGGGAAGGGGGGTGGGTGGGAACCTTTTTCAGATTCTCGTCACAATTGATGGTTCTCCGCTCGTCGGGATCTTGGAGGCCATTGATCCGTACGTATTCCCAGATCCCCATGACTATACCCGCACGGGTATCCTCCTTCGTATCTAGCAAGTCTGCGAGAGCAGGGTTTAATCTGAATCTATCTGGAACCTCATCTCGGATAAGTTTGATGGTGCAATTAACATTCTCGTCGCCCTTCCTTTCAAATTCGAACCCGTCAAATTCCAGCGGTCCCTGGGGGACCGCGCTTGGCGGCGCATTCGGCGCAGGTTTCCTCCACTCGATAATGTTGCCTTCCGGGTGGATATCCTTGTTTCTGTCAAGCTCGACGGTGATCCCTTTGAAGAAATGAGAGAATTTCTTCTTGGGCGGCTGGATGGGATCTGCGGAACCGGGTGTGGGTTCGAGATTGAGGTCGGAGTCTGGATCAATTTCTGCTGCATCGTCTTCCTCGTCGTCGAGGAGTCTGCCTTCAATTCTCAGGCGGAATGTCGGAATCTGGCCGGTGTCAAAATCAAATGCGTTTTCATCCAGCGGGCTATTAGCGTTCTGCCATGGCTGGTCTTTTGCACTATTGGAAATGAATATCCGAAGGGTTTTGTAATTCTACCATGGTTCCCCATAAGTTCTACCCTCCCCATAATTCTCTTTCGAGGGGGACAAACCTTGACATTCCTATTAACCGCATCCTGCACGTCCAACCTCTTCCTTAGAATCGTCGCATCGTACCTCCTCTCCATATCCCTAAGTTCCTTATAAAGCGCCACATTGGGAACAATTTCCTCGACGCCGTCGGGGATCGTCTTGTCCGTCGGCTTCCTCGCGCGCCTCTTCGCTAAGTCTCGTTCAGCCATCGCTGCCTGATGCTGCTGGTGTAATTGCTGCTGCGAGAGCGCAGTTTGGTGCGGCACCGCAGTGTTTCCAAGCATGGGGCCTGGACCTCTGCGTGCGGCGGTGGGCGGCGGACCGTAGCCTTGGCCATGGGAAACGCGTTGAGGGTGTGGCGATGGACGCGGGTGGTGGTCCATTATCGCTGTACCTGAAATGAACGGGGTGTGGGGAGGCTAACCAGGTGAATGGGTATGGCTGCGACAGTTGTATGGTTGCGATCTTTTTCTTCAACCCCTTGTTTGGAGGGAATATTGCTTGGTTGGTTTGGGGATGGTTTTGTCTTTCGATGGTTGCGAGGGAGAGCAAGGCAGTGGCACCGCATCAGAGTTCTGGCTTTCGTGGCGGCTTGGCGGCTGGGAACAATAGGGGAACCCAAATGACAGGAAAGCTGAACGACAGAGCCTTACAACACCATCGCACAAAGGAACTCCGCACAGAAAAACTCCACAGTATCCACACAAAAAACTCAGCCCAAGCCATCATGCCACGAGAGCCAGATGGAAAACGACGCGAAGCAACATTACCCGAGAGAGTTAAGGTTATAGAGCTTAGGAGTGCTGGCCATAGCTATCGATCTATCGAACGAGAGACCGGGATTTCAAAGTCCCAGGCGGCAAACATTTGGCGCCGGTTTACGGTGGACGACGATATCATCCCACAGATTCACAGCAGACGTGGCATGAAGTCGAAACTTGATGAGAGGGATAAGCTGAGACTGGTTCGACTATCTGATGCCCATCCTCGGGCCACTTTGCAAGAGCTCGTCAAGGAGTCCGGGCTTCCGATCCACCCCAAGACTGCTGGGAAATACCTTCGGAAGGAGAATCGTTTCGTACGATTCATAAAACGAAAGCCATAGATCGATCGTATCAGTTGATTCCGGTGGGACAAGGTACTGGGATCGATGGGTTGGGGGTAGGGGCAGGGATTTCGGTGTATGTGAGAATATAAGGTTCCACTTCCACAAATGATATCTGGGAGAGGAGCAGAGGTGTCGGGGAATTCGTAGGGAGGGGGAGGGGTTGGCTGATTGGATTCGTCGGGCTGTGTGAGAAGCTTTCCTTTCTGATATCGGTGATGTCCCTGGATGGTTTGTGCTGTGAGGGTGATCCATAAGAGTTTTTTTTCTGGTCTTTTTCTTCCGTCATTTTTTTTCCGTCATTTTTGCTTTTCTTTTTTCTATTCCAATTCTTTTATTGATTTTGGTTTTGAGTTAATTCCGGTTTAACATTTTTATGAAAAGTGGCCACGAAACAGTAGTGATAACCTGTTCAATATAAAGTAAAATGTTTAAATTGAGTACTTCTCAGAAATCCAATAGAATCTACCTGATAAACAAACCTTCTTTCCAGTTTTATAATATAAAAATCTCCATTTCTGTATTTCTCTAAAGGTGTAACAATTGCTCTTTTTAGTATTGTATAGTATTGATAGGAAATAAACAATCTTCTAAAATTTTAGTAGTTCTTAACCTACATTGAAGTCACATACCCATAAATTGCAGGTACATGTATTCAGCTTATTCAAGTCATGGTAGTAGTATCAGATTGTATAATACAGACTTGGACATTATATATTATAAGAGAGTTATAGTATAAAGAATATATTATAGAGGATCTAGTAGTAACTACTACTTAGATGAATAAGGAACTAATTAACTAGTTAGGTTGACCTCCTTATATAGTCCTCCACTGGTAAACCCTAACCCTGATGACTTATACCTGTAAGTTATGCATGACATATAACCTACAACTGTGAGTTATGTAAGATATGTCAGCTGACTCCTATATTATTTGATTACAGGTATATTGTATAATGACTTACTAAGTCACTATGCAATATATGGTTCTGGAAGATAAGAGCTAGGGCCACTTTTCTTATAAAAAAGTGTGAGAGTTACAGGTGCAACAGCAACCATAATGCTTTTGTTTACATTTTTTGTAACCTGATTATTTTGCCAAGAAAAATTCAAAACTAACAGAAGGAATAAGGGTATAGTTATTCTACATAGAAACCATTAATTCTAGAAAGTAGCAGTATTCATAGAATTGAAAGGGAAGAGCAAAATAATGTAATTTTATGGTATTAGATAATATGATGGTAAATAATGAAGTAGTATTGATAGTAGAAAATACATCCTCTATTGGTGCTATGATACTTAAAGTTGTTGGTTTATCTAAAAATACTAAGAAAAGAGAAATTTCAGTTCAGGTAGTGTTATTGTATATTCTATTTCTTTTACATTGGTTTTAAATATAAACTGATTATCAAGATATATAGGTATGAAACTAGACAGGATAGCAGAAATGAATAGGAAGAAGCAACAACTTACTGCAAATACAGAGCAGGTCTGATGGTATCATGTGAAGAATCATACTCCAATATTCAATCTAAGTTCCAAGTCACCAGCACAGACTAGTACAGAACAGTCACAAAACTGATGAGCATGCCAGTACATTAAGGAAAGCAACAATTTATGTACTGCAGAAGATGTACAAGGTCAAGAAGCATGGTAGAGTGGTTATAAAATCCTTTCCCAAATGCAATCTCTTCAGCCACAAATGATGGAATGGGATGACAATCTCAATATTATTGAAAAGTCTTACTCTACAGACAGTTGCCCCGTTGTATTGGTTACTTATGATGAATGCACTTTTAACTCAAATGATGGGCGTAAGAAGATCTGGATTCATGAGGATCAAGCTCTAATTTAGAAGAAAGAATGTGGTCAGGGCCTCCATATCTCAGATTTCCTTATACTAGTTGACCAACTTGTTGAAGGCAATATTTGTGAGATATTGAAGTGTGGAGGTGATATCTGGTGGACAGAAGACCTATTATTGCAACAGTTAAAAGAGAAAGCTATTCCTGTATTCAAATCTGCATTCCTTGAATGTTAGGGCTTATAGGCGTTTGATAATGCTAAAATCTATCAGAAATATGCCCTAGATGCTCTTCAGATTGGAAATATAAACCTTATACCAAATGGCAAAAATACTTTGCTAATGAAAGATGGATACTATATCCATTCTGATGATCTACAGAGTATCTGTCCACAATCAATCATTCTGCCAGATAGATACTTGAAGGAACTCCAAATTGTTTTACAGGAACATGGTTTATGGCATGAGGGACAAAAGTTTCTTACCAAATATCCGATTCCAGGTACAAAGTCTGGAGAGCGAAAACAAAATCCAGCTTGCAAACATGCCACTAATACTAACTGTTGTACCAAAGCACTCCTCTCTTTACAGCCAGCTTTTCTGGCACAGAAGTATCAATTGCAGGAAATATTAGAAGCTGCAGGTCATCAAGTAATTTTTTATCCTGCATTTTATTATGAGTGAAACTTCATTGAGTATTTCTGGAGTTATGCTAAGCTCTATACCAAAGTACAGTCACTAGACAAAAGTCTTGGTGATGGCTTAGTCAGCAATGGCACATGAAAATGGAACACCCCCAAGCGAGCCCTTTCCCTTGACACTCCTCTTCTGACAACCACAATAATTCTTCCTGAAAAAGCTAGGATGCCACTCCAAGAAAGGTCAGATACTATGGAAGGCATTATAGTTGGTCTTTTATATATCTTGTAAATTATTTCTACTAATGACAAGCCTGCTAAATTTCTTTCTGTTGGGTATCCAGGTCCTGTTTCCATGATTTACAGTTATTGATAATTCTATGTTTTCTTTCACAACTCTTCAAGTATAGATCTATGGATCTTATATCTTTAGTTTGCTGTCCTAGCTAGGGCTTCATGGATAGTATGGGTAATTATATCTGTAAGCTTTCCTGGAAATCTCTCAGCATTGGTATAGTGGATGATGACTGTTGTAATAGTAAATAAAGGGGGGGTATCTGAAGTGCTAGTAGAATTTATGAGAGTTTATTCTTGGTTTATGATTTCTCTCTTTACTATTAATTGATGATTTAATTTTTTTCCACTATTTCCCTACAGTAGCTATTTAGCTCATACAACACTGGTATTTACCGGTACCCACTCAGTGCACAGACTTTGTCTCACCTAGAGCGATCACCAAGACTTTTGTCTAGTGACTGTATATTGTGAATACTCCTTCCCTTCTTTGGTTTGTATGGTGCTAGTAGTACTTACACAAATTTCCAATCAATTGATCTGGAAATATTATCAGTAAACCTTACATATGATAGATGCTTATCGAAATAATATAGGGTATAGTTCTGAAGACTTTAAGAAATATGTATATACTAGATACTTATTCTATTGACGAATTACAGAGGCAGAAATTAATATAGATTAATTAAACAATTATAAAATCTTTTAATGAGATATGTTTTTATCAATTATTAAATCTAGCTTTCTCTATCATCAAATTCTCATATATTTTCTTATCTTATACACTTCTAATTATTATATTTTGCATGTTGACAAGTGTTAAGAATCCTACCAGGTAGGAGGGTGCGACAGGTAACGATACTTCTCTCAATATAAGGTAATAGTTTTTAGGCTGTGGCCTACGCAATGTTGATAGCTAAGTCTCTTGACTTCTATCTTATTGCGCCTATTCCCTTAATACTTTTCAAGTCCTTGCTTAGGACTTCCTCTTTGGTATCATGGGAGGAAAAACAATTCTTAGGTTTCTTAAGATAAATCTTAAAGAGCGTAAAGATAGATGTTATTGGTAAAACATAAAGGTAAGAAATAAATAAGAAGAACATGTGAAGAGCTAATACTGTCACGGCCACCCGGACATGGAGATGGAATATGGATGGGGGTTTGGTAGCATTTCTTAGTTGGGCTTTTCTGGTTGCTAAGCAAAGGATTTCCTTTGTACTTTGATTGGTATGCGTTCTCGTGTGATAGAACTTAACAGAACACTATGGAGATATCGTGGCTGCGTATGACGCGAAAGGATTTCTTTTGTATTAGTGATCAGAGAGGATTTTCTTCTATATAAGGAGGTATGCCCTTTATATTTTATATTCTTTACGCAATCTGATAATCTTCTTCAGACACCCTTTTTTACGTACCAGGAAATTATCTTATCCACCATGATATCTTCTCTTTGGCACGACCGGGGTCAAAGTATCTCCTCATCACCTTCATCATGAGGTCATCATCCTCTCTCATTCTGCAACCTCCTACACAGTCTGACGGGGCTTCGCAGGGTCGGCTATCACCTATCTTTCAGCTTCAGGGCCCCCCCATGCTTAAATGTCCATGTAGTAGTACCACCACAACTATACGATACTCAAACGATGACTTTGAAGCTCCTAATAGCGCCTTCATGCAAATATTTGAACAGTTGGCAGAGGTACAGAAGACTGAAGTGCTGTTCAGTTTTGCCAAAGCCTTTCCAATTATGATTCATATGATCCAAATTTTGCATGAAGACTACAGGAAGGCGACTGATGGGCTAACCGAGCACATCACTGCCCTCACTAAGGAAATAGACGCCCTTTATGCCTGTACTCTCTCTCAACCTACTCATACCACTGCTCCGCTAGCACCTCCTACTACTGATACTACAGAGCAGCCCTCTGTCCCTCCTCCACCTTCCACCCTTCCCCATACCCTACCTCCTGGCCTGGCAGCTCCCCCTTCTTGGGCTACCGTCACTAGGAGGGCAAGGATGTAATGTGTTCACGCCAGGGTGCTAGTCCTGTCGCTGGGTACAATAGGAGCAAACCGACAATCTACCAGAGATCAATGGTTCCTAGGCTAGCTAAGGGAGGCTTCGATGATGTAATAGGAAAACAAAGATAACCGTTCAACCGAGTATATTAGAATACTAACTGTTGAAGTCTGCCCTTTTCCTTAGTGGAAAACGGCGGTCTTTTAAGTACATATGTTTGAGTGTGATCATGAATTCTCACTCATATTCTTACTCAATCAATCCATAAAACTAACCAAGTATCAACCGATACTTAAAACAAAACATAAAACAAACTAAGTATCAACCGATACTTAAAACAAAACATAAAACAAACTACTAACCAAGTACCAGCTCCGGTTACAAAGGAAGCCTTCTCAGAAACCCATAAAGCCTGGCCCCAAGCTAGCCAAACCCTCCTCTTCCTTGGTTAAGCCCTTTATCAACAAGAAAAGGGCCTCACTTTGTGCGAGCGTCAGCTCATTATCAAAAGAGATGCTGCTCCCCTTACATCTACTGCTGTACAGCTGTGTGACAGCATCAACCAGGCCCTGGTCTCCACTCTCATCCAGTCTGTCTCCTTTTGAGATGGACATGTTACCCTCACTACTATGGACATGGTTAGAGCAACTACTATCAACAGCAAAGTCGGCACCTTTTTATACCTCATTCCTGGTACCTCTACTGTCTACCTCGACACTCCTGCCACCCAGCTTCTGGTACATGGCATCGCTACCTCTACCCCTCTGGCATCGCTTGTCCAAAAACTTACTACCTTTAACTCAGGCTTATCTCTTATCAAACAGCCTAGGTGGCTTACCTCAGATATAGCACACATTGACAAACTTGCCTCAACCGTTGTTATTTTCATCACTGGAGCCAAGGCTCCTTCTTTTGTTGGCAAACGCCTCTCTGCCTTTTCCAACACCTACCGTACCGAATGGTGTTTACGCTTCAACAAATACACCCAGTATGTCAACTGTCACAAGTTTGGCTACCACAGCATCAAATGCATTCTGCCTCCTTCCTGCCGCTGGTATCTCTTCCCTCACTCTACTCGGGATCACTCCTGCCCCACTGCGACCTGTCGCCTTCACGGCCATCCCTGCAGCCATACTACACCCAGGTGTGTGAACTGTGATAGCCCACACGAATCCCACTCATGTGCTTGCCCTTCTCGCCCCCATCCAAATACTCAAGAGTCTGAGGCCTCGGAGGAACATGAAGAAGAGGTGGACATGGACAGCTCTACATAGGTTGGGATACCTATAATGATAACACCAATGTCTGGGGTGGCCTAGAATGGCTATTATGGGAAGGGGTCTAGGAAACTAGGTGATGAGGGGGATATCATGGTACCTTTTCGCCCTGTGATCTGAATGCTTGATTGGGTTGCTGGTGGGCTTTGAAAGGAGGATTGATTTTGTTCATGATTGCACCTTTAGGTGTGGGTTGCGAGGCTGGAGCAGTGTTGCCAGTGGTAGTAATTTTTACTTTTATTTTTTATGATTTATGGTTGGAATTAATGGGATTCCCATGGCCTGGCTAGGTGGGACAGGTAGGTACCAGACTGGTAATGGACTTATACTTTAGCTTTGGTGTTGGTGCTCGCTCACCAGAGTGGTTAATGGTACAGGGATGGAGGATCGGTACCTTGTACTTAGTTGTCTTCAGCTTGCGATAAAACCCCTTTGTCGGAGGAGGGGGACTAGATCACAAGCCATGATTTGGCGCAACTAGTATAAATAAACTTAGATTGAATTCGGACACCTGTACCTAGAAATTATACTCTTTACTATCTGGCGTCCTCTTGAACCCCTGAACTCTGACCCTGATCCCCTGAATCCTGAACCTCGTACAACTCGCTGTAGTTGTGCCCCCACACCTAGACCTGGTCTCCAGAGTCCTGCCTGTCCTGATCGTGGTGTGCCTTGAGCTACCTGACCCTCAGACCCTGTCCGTTACAAATACTTGGGGTCCTAGTGACCATTTATATGGTAGCTCTTCACCTGGAATGACTTATACCTTGCGTCATGCGAACCCTGTGACTCATCACCATGAGTCATGCAAAATCCATCAGTCGACTCCTATGAGTCACTGCACAACATGCCTAAAACCAATCAAAATATAATAATCAAATCAGGTGGGTAACTTGCATTACCTGAGTGAAACCCATGACTCATAACTTGAGTCATATACAAAAATCATAACATGGTGTGACTCACAACTATGAGTCGAACAGGTCAATATAATAACCTATGGCATACTAGTATGTACCATGTGAAATCCTAACATATTTATAGCTCAGAATTCCGAGCTATGTAAAATCTGTCTTACTTAGTCATAGTTTATGACAACAAGTTAGGGTTTACTATATCAGGTGCTAGGGTAATAAGGTCTTGGCAGTGTTATATTTGGCATGGCAACAATTTTGTTAGGCCCTGTTCGGTTGCACTGGGTCTATTTTAGACCGTTCCAGTGTGAAATAGACGGACCTGTGGGAACGGTTGCCAATTAGGCACCACCATTCACTAGTAGCAAACATGAAAAACTTTCACTTTAGGGCTTTGTGAAATTCTTTTACCAGTGCCTTCAATCCTTTTACAATTTAAGCTTTTAACACTCAACCAACAACCTTGTGAAAATAGCTAGATAATAGATTAAACATTAGATACACTATAATAATAGCTACTTATAATAAAACAAAACAATTTTTCATCGTGAAATAGTATCTCCACTATGCTGAAACTGCTCCTGTACCTCTCTGCTTGATGTCCTGTGGCCAACAGTCTACAAAAACATAACTAGTTACTCTTCAACACTTATATGCCAAGATGGTAAGAGTAGACTATGCTCAGTTATTCAGTCCTGAAAATTCAAGAAAGTAGTTGTTGGCATGCATATAAGCTCCATTACATGAGATGGATGTACTCTTAGGATTTCTTTAGTATATTAGTAACCAGTATCACTGGAAGTAGGTACATACTTGGTAGGCAGAAAGAAGTTAATGTAAATTGCTACATTGATTGCAATTTGTATTCATTGATGAAGGATTGTGGGATGGATGTGATTATTATCTGCTGGAGTATTATACTCATTATTGAATTGTTTCAAATTGGAATTCAAATTAAAGATATCTTATACATAATAATATTTATACTATAGACAACATATTCTATTGATAATATTATTATTAAAACTATTTACATATGATGTTTCTATATAGCAACTGTTGTGTTAGGGCTGTATCTGAAATGGAAGGTCAATACCTTTTACTGTTATCGAACAGTGATTTGGTTCCTCCATTTTGAAATGGAAGGGAAATGGTCGCTTGTAGGTAAAAACGAAATGGGTCCAGTGCAACCGAACAGGGCCTTACACTTTTTGTCTGAAAATTGAAGTGGAGTCTAGCTTTCCAGAACCATAACTACAAAATTAATATACTAAATATTAGTAAAACTAATAATTAAATATTTTACATGGGCCTATTTGGTATACTAAAAATACTATAGTATTTCTACTTTTACAGTATATTTTTCACAGTATTTTTATTTTAGTTTAGGCCTATATTTAGTATGTTATTAACACTATAGTATTGTTTTTTTTTTTAAAAAAAAGAAATTATACTATAGTTTTAATAGAGTTAAAAAATAGAGGAAATCAGGAATAGGTTCTTTAACTTATAATACATATATGTTATAAGTTTTACTAACTCTCTTAATCTAATAAGATTTATAAGTTAGAAAAGAAAATCTGTATTACAGGTTAGAAAATGCCAAATGGTACATATATTTTTAAAAATACTAATCATAGAATTGTGTAATTAAAACATTTTAGAGAATAAATTGTAGTAATATAATAAATTTCTAGGTTCTGCTGTCATAAGAAAAGTTCAACTTAAGATTAAAAGAAAATCCACTAATTGCTTATAATTATAGTTGAGAAAAAAAAAGCTCTTTTTTTTCCCCTTATTTGCTTTTTGTAGAGCAGATTTTTTTTTCCTGTACTTGTGCCAAGGTTGCAGCTAGGGTGCTGCAACTCCCAAAAATTCGCTGGCTCAGTTTTTAGGGGCACTCATCCTAAGTGCCAGATAGTTCAATGCCAATTTGCAGCTTAATGTCAGTTTGTATGTTAAGAATCCTACCGGGCACTAGGGTGCAACAGGTAACAATTCTTAATGCATAGCAAGGTAATAGTTCTTAGGCCGATACCTACGTGATGTGGATAGTTAAATCCCTTTGACTTCTATCTTATCGCTCCTATTTCCTCTAAGCTTCTTAAGTCCTCGTCTAGGACTTAATAGTTTGACGTGGGATGAAAGATAGTTTTCTCGCTTGGGAGGAAAGACAATTCTTGGGTTTCTTAAGATAAATCTTAAACCGCATAAAGGTAGGTTTTATTGTAATAACTTAAAGGTAGGAAATAAATAAGAAGAACGTATGAAGAGCTAATACTCGGGGTCCTAGTGACCCTTTATAAAGTAGCTCTTTACCTGGCGTGACTCACACTTCACATCACGCGAACCCTGTGATTCATAACCATGAGTCATGTAAAATCCATCAGTTGACTCCTATGAGTAGTTGCGTAATATACCTAAAACCAATTAAAACATAATAACTAAGCCAGGTGCGCAACCTGCGTCACCTGAGTGAAACCCATGACTCATACATTGAGTCATATACAAAAAGTCATAACATCGTGTGACTCACAACTGTGAGTCACGAACAGGTAAACATAATAACCTATGGCGCATTAGTGTACGTCATGTGAAATCCCAACATACCTATAGCTCGGAATTCCGGGCTTTGTAAAATCTGCCTTGCTTAGTCACAGTTTGTGACATTGTGGCTCAATATCACTTTGTGGCTCAACCAACTATTAGAGCAACATTTATTTTCATGGCTCTATATAATTTTGTGATTTATAAGATTAAATATAAATTTAAATTACCTACAAATTATATTCCTTCTAGTAATCCTAGTTCTACTAGTACTATTGTAAAAATACCCCCTTATGCTACTTTTAATATGAATTCTAGTTTCTAGTTTATACATAGAGTAAGATAAGCATATCAATACTAGTGTCTATATACAGATACTACTTACATATTTTTTAAACTTCAATTAGATGTACAAACTCTATCCAAGTGTAATATTATTTTAAATGTAAAATTATAAAGATAATTATGCTATAGTATCAAATTACATTAGGAATTATATTATGCATATATAATCTAAGATAATGCTATGAAATTAACTTGGGTAGTTAGGTTCGGTTTGTTTTTAATAGTTGGTTGAGCCACAAACTAATATTGAGCTGCAAATTGACATTAAGCTATCAGGCACTCAGGATGAGTGCCCCTGAAAACTGAGCCAGCAAATTTTCGGGGGTTGCAGTGCCCTAGCTGCAACCTTGGCACGAGTACAGGATATAGGCCCAGAGACTTTAGAGTTTGAGGACAATAGATTTCCTTAATACACCTTTTCAATACTATCAACCATAACCTAGGATACTCCCAACCCTATCTCATTCTATGGACGTAATGCCGTTAAGTTGGTTACCAGGATTGGGATACGACTTGTAGTTAGTTTGGCTACGAATTTAAGGTATTAACATATGGCTACATCTTCGACCGGGTAATCCCCACAGTTAACAGGTCTTCTCTCCAAACACCCCACATCCTCTATCACCCCACCACCAACTCACCCCTCGCCATTCAATTGCGTATCCCATGGCCCATAACTTATCTGTTTACCACCCTAGGGCCTCTTCAACAGCTTGGGCCTATTACAACTACCGCCTATTCCCAATATGCAGCTCCCGTCACTTTTCCATAAAGCCTGACCTCCAACCTCCACCCACGGCTCCCAAGCCATCAATAAACCTCAAGGCAATTCGCGACTTCCCAGAGTACTATCGCCAGAATTGCCTGAACCGGAATTGCCCCTCGCTTGCGGGTGCGCCCGAGCGAATAATTACACTTTATGGGGAGTGGACGGGACTGCAGAAGGGCTTGAGGGGGGATAGAGAACGTCAGAATACGCTCTCGGCGCAATTGCGCTCTAGGAATCCGCTCACGCATGGTCCGCACGGTGGGGGAGAAAAAACGGAGGTTATCGCTGAGGGGCAGGAAGCAAAGGAGAGCTTATTGGCTGAAGCGAAGTATATAAAGGCTAAAATCTCGGAGGTGGAAAAGAATGAGAAGGTTTTGGAGAACGAGATGAAGAATCTTGCTATCCAATTACCCAACTGGACGCACAAGGAGTCACCAATCGGGACCGAACCGAAACTCCTCGGGTATATTAATCCTGAAGTTGCCCCATCACAGCGGACCGGTCCTCGGGTTTCGCATACTCAGATTGGCGCCCAGTTGGGTTTGTTGGACTTTTCGGCTGCCGGGAGGGTTTCTGGGTGGGGGTGGTATTACCTGCTTAATGAAGCAGTGCTCTTGGAGCAGGCACTGATCAATCATGCACTTTCGTCCGCAATGAAGAGGGGGTGGAAGTTGGTTAGTCCTCCAAATATTGTATACTCACATATGGCCTCGGCATGCGGGTTCTCTCCGAGAGATCAGCACGGTGAACAGCAGATATACACACTTGGCGGAACGGAAGGGAAAATCCAACACTGTCTTGCGGGGACGGCGGAGATCCCATTAGCTGGGCTGTACGCCGACAAGACCTTTGCAGAAGACCAGCTCCCAGCGAAGTTGGTTGGGGTCGGTAGAGCCTATAGAGCCGAAGCGGGGGCACGAGGGGTGGACACCAAAGGTCTCTTCCGAGTCCATGAATTTACAAAGGTAGAACTATTCGCCTGGGGACCACCGGGACAAGAAGAATTCTCCACCACCAAGGGCGGATCCGTTTCCCCCACCATAGCTACTGGAGATTCTGGACCTGCTTCTGCAGCTGCTGCTGTGGAGGGAACCTCACCCATCATTAAACCTACCAACAATACCACAACCTTCACCTCCCTCTTCGACGAAATGCTCGACCTTCAAAAATCAATAATCTGCTCTCTCGGTCTCCACGCGCGCGTTTTGGAAATGCCAACCACAGACCTAGGCGCCGCCGCTAGCCGCAAGGTTGACATAGAAGTCTACATGCCCTCGCGCGAGGCCAAGGACCCTTGGGGCGAAGTTAGTAGTCTGAGCAACTGCACCGATTACCAGAGTCGTCGGTTGAACACCCGTGTTAAGATGGTCAGGAAGGATGCTCCTAGCGGTGTCAAGTCTGAGTTCCCGTGGACACTGAATGGGACCGCAGTGGCAGTGCCTAGGGTTCTTATGGCAATCTTGGAGAATGGGTGGTCAGAGGAGAGGGATGGGGTTGTTGTGCCGGAGGTTTTGAGGGGGTATATGGGTGGGTTGGAGTTTATCGGGAGGAAGAAGTAGGTGATGAGAAAAGGGAGAGTTGGGTGACGGGGAGAGAATTGTACTATGGCGTTTTTTGGTTCTCTATTTCCTTTTGTGGCTGGGTTAGGCTTGGGGGGGTCGCCCGGATTGCTCTGCGAGGTAGGACATCAAAGTTCTCAGGTGTCGAGTCGATAGATATAAGGTTGGTTAGATTTGCACCACTCTCTAGGTCCACTCACTTTCTCCGCTTTTTTCCTTTCTTCAGTTTAAAATCACAACTCTAGTGCCGCCAAAGATTCCTTTTCAAACGACATAAAGCGAACAGCGTGGAGTCCTCCCCCAAAGTGTCATGGCCACCACCCGACTCAGCACCCTCCACCTAAATAGCAATAGCGTCAACTTGCTCGCATCATTCAATAATGGTATCGTGCCAAACTCACGGAACCCACCAGGCCGATCGCCTCCGAGCTGGCCAACAACGGACTTGATGCACAATACCCAACATGTCCTGGTCACCCTTGGTCACTCGTTGGCCAATCGCCAGTTGGGTCATATTCCGGACATAGCAGTTTCTCATTCTCCTTCTAATAGTTGACAGCCTACGAGTAGTGCACAGTAATTGGGTGCCGAGACGAGGCCTTCGCCGGCGTGCTCGCTCGCTAGACTAAGACTGTTATCTTCTCAGTATTGCACAGATCACTAGGAGCGACCGCTAAACTCCCCCCGTATATTAGTTTCATTGGTTCCCTACGGTTGAGAAACTATCGGCTTTGTTACCTACCCCCCTTCCCCCATCTCTTTATAGCGCTGCAGTTATTGAGCGGAGCACGTTGCCCGCAGCGTGCGGTTTGGAGGTTGGGACATGGTGGCCTTGATTGGGGTGTTTTGGGTTAACCGCGAGCATCCACCGCGCTATGATATCATATCCACAATACATTCATCAATGCACGGTGACTACGCGTATCCCATCCTACCTTAACAAGGCCGGCCTGCCCGTTCTTCATAGGTGCTTTTCCCGGCTTTAGAGTTCTTTCGCATGGAAGGAGATCGCCACTCTATCTGTCGTTGATGGTTGCGGGTCGCTTCCGGAGGACGTATTGCAATTTCTCTGCTATTGTAATGCACTGTATTTAGCCTAGCGCCACGTCCGTTATCCCACTCGGGCAAGGCAAACTCGCCGATCCATGTTTTGGATGGATAGGGATTCGTTCTCATGATGGTATTGTGGGGTATCTAAGATTAATTCTACTAGGTGAGAACGGTTTGGAATTACCATTGTTGGATTGGTGGCGCCCCGGGGGTCAATCCCCCTTTGTGTTATCCAATTATTGGAAGATATATCACGGTCGTGAAGAAGAGAAAAACAAAAAGAGATACGATTTCTGCAGTATGGTAGTCAGACTGGATACAGGTACGGCACAATTGTGGGGATGTGTGCTATAGCCCGGTAGCAGAACCAGCAGCGGGCAGAAAAGTGTTCCCCATTTGATCCGAGGAGGGGAGAACGAGGGAGTAGACTACTCGTACCGTACTCAAGTCGCAGGTTTGAAGTCACGTCTCCATTCATGGTACCAGTGTTCTTGGCATGTCAAATGAGTATTTTTTTAGTACATATAACTTGACGGAAGAGATGAGCATGAAGTCATGTCATATTTGAAATCAGGGAAAATATTTTGCACTGAGAAAGGAGTACAATATTTATTCTACAGTACCAGGAACCTGGAGGTATTTGAAATAGTAGGAGAAAAGCTTATAGGAATCCAACTTAACTATAAGTAAAGCGATTATGATATGAATTGATACTAGTATGAGTCCTGGATCAGCTTTACAAGAAATAGTTACAACCAGGATAGCGAGATTAAATCTCTATTAATATATTGATTGTACTTATGCTTAAAATAAGAGGAAAGCTAATATGAAAGAAAGAACTACAAGTAGCTTGGTTAAAAGAACAGGAGTATAAAAATTATAACTTACTATAAATAAGAAACTATCTAATAATGCATTTCTTTTATAGATACAATATCAGACTGCCAACAAAAATAACTTTCAGGATATTTTGACCTACTTAAAAGATAGTTATATAGAAGAGATATCAGTAAAGTAAAATTTTAGAAAAGTGTAATACTATATAATAAATACTCTTACATTTTTGAACTGTAGGTAAGATAGAAAGCTAGAGTTATAACTCTACAATTTACTATTTACAGTTATTAGTATTGGTTAACTTAAATAATATTTATAGTTTTAAATAATCAATAATATTTATTATAACTACTGTAGAGATAAGGGATATAAAACCAGAAGATTAAAGAAGTACTAGGTAAAATAGAATATTAAAACTCTATTTCAATCTCCTATTGTCCTAAATCCTAGTCATATTTCTTTTCCTCTTTGATAATATTATGTATAGGTGCTGATATGTGAAAACTAGGCAAATCTACAACTGCAACAAATTTCCTTTAATGCATATCATACTTAAACATAAAGAGCATCATCTGAAGAGCTTAAAAAATATTTGTCAGATAAATTGAACTCTTTATAAGCTTTATGCCAGTGGTTCATCAGATCCAAAATTGTTGTGGTTGTTATGCAAACTTCAAAGTATTATAACTCAAAACCAAGTTAAAGGTGTCTGCCCTGTTTTCACATATCAACACCCATATAGTGAATATTTTAATAATTCTTTTTGTAAAATTTAGTTGGCTAAAAACTATAATTAGATTGCTCTAAGTTTTAAGAAATTTATAAAATATAATTTGCAATCTTATTATACTAAATAGTATTAATTTGTAAATTTAAAATCTATTGTAATAATTATAAAGTAGAATTTAAAGCGAACTTAATAGGGGTATAAAAAAAGTACTTGTAGATTTATTTGATACAATTAGATAGTGCTGTACAGAGAGTTCAGGACTACTCAATGATAATTCTAAGGGTATCATTTAAAAACATCCCATCTCATCCTTCTATCAACTCTTATCTTAGGAACTTCTTTTATAATTCACATTCACAATACTTCTTTCAACAGATTTAGCAAGCTCAGCTTTGATACACCCAATTAAGGTGTACTAAAATACTTGGAAAAAAAACTTTTCTCTAAATTTCTTCCTTCCTACTCCTATCCCTTGGTTGGTCTGAAACAGTAAAATTCATAACCAGGTGGATGAGTGACTTGTCCACAGTTTTAATTGAACTCTCATTGGTAGAAGTAAAAACCCTGCAGGTGGCCGAGTGACTTGACCACAATGGCGAAGTCACTCATCCACCTGGCTATGAATTTTACTGTTTCAGACCACCCAAGGGATAGCCAATTTCATACACTTCTAAACTATGGTTTGTATTTCGTATTTACCGAATAGTACATTGGTTACAAACAATAGTTTGACCCCAAACCATGGTTTGTAATCTCCATCATACTGTGTTAAACGGTCCCTAAGATATCCTCGAAGGGGGGAGGTACTTGAAGGTAGTAGGCCCAGGAGCCCACCTTAACACTAGTGTGCGAGATGGGAGCCGAAGACATCTGAATGACTGGGAAAGCAGTACAGTACTATTGCTCCTTGAATTTACATATCAAAAATATTATGTATCAAAGCTGGTCGTTGAAGTAGAAAGAAATCAGGTATCGAAAACGGGAACAAGCAAAACTCCTGTGCATATCTTTCGCGTCTAAAAACCAAAACCAAATATTTTTTGCATCTAAATATAATTACAGGAAGCCTCTAGAGAGACTCCATATTCTTCAGCGAAAGGTTCCTTAATTGGCCAGCGCAGCCCCATTTCCGGGTTGGTCCTCCGTAAGCCTAATCCATAGTTCCAGCATGCCCGCTCGTTTTGTTGGAAGCATGCTATACTGCATTGAATACAGATTCTTTCTATGAATAGGCGGTACGAAGCGGCCGGTCATTAAACATAGGATGACATGGGGCGAGACATAATGTTTTCGGATTCGCTGGCCGAGCTGGAAATATTGGTGGAACATCGCACCGAACGGTAATGGGGTTGACTGATGGGTTTGTTAGCTGAATCTACACAATGAGACAGCTGAGGAACCCATTACCTTCAAATTGATGTAAGAAAGCGGAGGCACCCCATAGGTCCTCTTGAACCCTTTCACAACAGCGACCGTATCCAATAATTCGAACCTAATACCACCCGGCAGCCGCTTCGAGTCCTTCACCCGCAACATGAGTGCAAACAACGGAAAGTGGTTGAGGCAGGCTAACAGAGTTTCCAGCGCAGCCTTCAACATTATTATGGCCATTCTCGCAGACGCGAAGGTAAGGTAAAACACCAAGACCGTGGGCAGTAGGAATATTAACAAGGTAAAAAGGATGGTGCCAATGAGCAATTGGTCAAGGTCATAATCGCACGAGTCGATTCGATTCCTGAGAACATTTCGTTTCTTTCCACGGAAGAGATGGAAGAGAGATATTATGATAGTTAACTGCCAGTTGTAGATGCGCGCGGATGCAATGTAGAAGGAATATACGTGCAAGGTTAGGATGGAAAGAAGATCCGAGAACAGGGCTATAGGCATTGAGGCACCCGCAAAACTAGAGAACCCAATAGCATAGATCACACCAGGAAGATGCGGTCTGATGTTTGTCATAGTATCTGCCCAGTAATCTATGACCCATAGGAATAGATCACCAAGAAAGTTCCCCAAGTCGTCATTGAGCTTCAAGCCACCGGGGCGTTCCATCAGCCAACTTATCATTGCTTTCATGCCCTCGACTGTATAGGCCTGCAAAGTAATTAGACACATGATATTTCCTTGGAGAATCGGGTTCACATACCCTCAAGTAATAATCTATCTGGTATGCTACCCCACTCGCGTTCTCGATTATATAAGAACCCAAAGCAATCCCAATGATAACATCATTTGCAACAAGCCACAGGCTGTTGTAAAACCGAATATAATCAGGATGAGATGTGGTGACACTTTCCCAGTCGGCTTTTCGTCGGCGCAGGGTTACATACTGTATAGGCCAATAGCAAAACTGCTGAAGCCGGATATCGAACTGCTGTGCTGAGGAATAATCAATAATCTAATTCACCTGCAAACCCTAAACCTTCTTTCAGCTCTGCCACCCGTTCAGTAGGCAGAAGGAGCAATAAGGCTTGCTATGGATACCGGAGAGAACCTTACCTGTAGCAGAAATGTCCTTCAACGCCGCCAGTTCAGGTCGTAACCTCCATTCTAGCACCCTTAGAAGCGTCTCTGCGACCAATCTCCAGATCAATATCATCAGTACAAACAGCTTGGTAGCAAAGGGCCACAAAAACTTTGCAGTGTCCATTAACCCCTTCAACACAATCCTCCACAGCGATGTCGCGGACTCTACCACCCTTTCACTGACACTGAGACTCCTTCTGGAGCGTCTAGACATTATAAGCCTAACGTTTTCCTTCAACAGTTGCCTCATCTCATGCGAACAATTGACCTGATCAATTATCATCTGTAAACTTTTTTCCTTCATGGTCGGCGTAGGCCGGACTACTGAGTGAAGTTTCAGTTTCTCGACCAGTTCAGCCTTCCGCTCCCTCTCCCGTTGCTCCTCGATCGTATCATCACCATCCCCGATACTTCCGTTCGTCATCCGATCCTCCAGTGCCAATGATATAGGGGTCAAGGATAAATATTGCATCCGCCGCGGGTGCGGTCTCTGAAACAATATCACTTGGAAATCAATCCCGCTCGCCGGCGGACAGAATATCTGAGGGTATCTGCATGACTTATCGGTAAAAGCGTATATATGGTCTGGCTGAAACAGTGGGCCCGGTTCTTCATTGACACTCCCAAGCACGTGAAGTTCCGTTCTACCGCAGAGTTCAAATATCCGTTCGACAGAATGCAGAGATTTCCGGTAAAGACTCCGCGAACTCAATTCTTCCGCAATCCTCCTGCCCTGATTTCCCAAATCAGCCTCTACTCCAAAAACGAATTCTATTCTCCCACCGATAGACTACCATGGAAGAAACCCACATCCACTCCATTCAGTATATCCACCACGAATATGTCTAACTCCGAGTTCCTCCATCCCACCAATATCCCTGGCCGGCTGTTGCGCTGAAAATCTAAAGGCCAGAACACGCGCATCAAACCATTCGAACCCATCAATAGAAACTCCCCCTACGGCGCAACTGCTCTCTGGCCGAAATAGCGCTTCCGCTCCGTGTCTGCTACAAGGCAAAAATGCAACGTCAGCGCGAAACTCACATGGGGCCAGACCAAACCATGACGGTGCAGATGATGACGAACCAAACCGATCTCCCTTGAGGCAATCCTTTCGATAGGTATAAAGAACAAGAAGAAAAACAGCGATAAAATCAAAAAACCCTTAGTAGCCCGTCCCTAAAAAAATCTCAAACCAGAGCATGAGTAAGCCTGAGGTAGGAGAGGTGAAATTAAGCTTCTTAAGCCAGGAGACTCGTGAAACAGACGAACCAAAACTCCGTGATCCCAGGCGAAATAGCCCAGATCTATCGCCTGGGTAATGAGTGAAAAGCGAGCAGTAATGTATCCGGCAATAAAAACCACTATCGTCAGTACCCTAACGACGAGACAAAGGTCAGTACGTATGATGTAAGGGGAGGCAGGTTAAAAGTGTACGAAGCAACAGGGCGTCGGCGGCGGGAGGCTCTTACAGAGGCCGCATGAAAAACTACTCATGGAAGAACCTGTATCTTCCTGACCAAATTGAATTCAGGAAGCCCCGCTACAGCTTCTGGGTCAACATCTAGAGAGAGAAAGGAGCGAAGTTTACCCGAGAGGGAGCAGGAATGAGTGGGGGGAAGAGGGAGCGGGAGGAGGCTCTGTGGCGGACAGTACGCGCGGGATCGGGACAGGTGTCGGTGGTGTTTTGAGAGGAGAATTGTTATGGGAGAGTTCACTGTGAAGCCTGTGGTTCGAGTCTGGTAGGGGAGAAGGGAGGGAATTGAATACTTGGGACCAACAGCCCCAATCTCGCTCCTTTCCCTCCAGAAAGAGAATCCCTGCTATCATACAATTCCAAAGCCTGTTAACCCTGAATCGACCGCTAACGCGAAATCCCCCGCACGAAGCGGGTTGGTGAGGGCAAACTTGGTGACAATCTTTCTCAAAACAAAAACAACAACCGCAGTAACTGGTCGGATATGCAACACACTACTGGTACACGCGCTGTAGCTCTCGCTACTCGCGTGCGATACGGCCATGATGCCACAACAGCCTCCTTTGATGAAGCTCAACACTTTTGCCGTCGATGAGATCGCAAAAGTGGCTTTAAACCGGTTCTGTGGCTCTTCCAAATTTACCCTGGGGCGGTGCAGACTCTGCCCCAATGAGGAAGGGGCCCGCCAACCCGGGATTGCCACTGTATTTATCCCTTACTCGTAGAGAGCTGAAACAACGAAATTCAGTGCCGCCAAGAAATTGCGCAATTGATAGCAGGCCAGAGCAGGGATCTAGATTACCAAATAGACAAAGTAATATAAAAATATATAAAAAAAAAGGAGAGAAAAAAAGCTAGACCGAAGACCTTCTGACACCATGATATAATGGAAAACTAGAATAACAAAGAGCTACATGACACCGTTCACACTGGGATCGTACTTGGTGTATTTTCACCAAGTTTCCACCTTGCTTTTGACGCCAGCGACACCATAGACACCATGCTCGTGTAGCTCTCTGTGCCAGTACATGGCCCTTCAAGGTCCCACTTCCACCTACTGGTTCCAGCCTTCATGAGTTCTTTGTGATATATATTTGGCATACAGGATTGCGTAGGTAGTACAGGCGTTGAGTTCGGTAGAGGAATGTAAATTTAGGCTTCGGAGGAGAGTCTTTTTGGCTAGCAGGAAGAAGGGAGCTACTAAGCAAAGAACAAAATGCGTGGTGAGTGGTCAGAGAGCTATTAGTTTGTGCAAGGTGGTAGGCGTTAATAATCGTAGTATCCAGCAACCAGTAAAAAAAAGGTTGTCAATTCTGACGGACTATATGTTGTGTGGAAAAATATGATTGAAGGTGGCCGGCAATATCAATGCTGCCTATGTATCAGTTATAGTCGTTATCGATCTTAGGTATTGCATATAGCTTGCGATGTTGCCCTGTAGAGAATGGCTTCTGAGTAGCAGCTGCATTGGTACTGGTTTCTTGTAGCCTCCAAGGTAGTTTCTCTACCCATGAGGTTGGTTCAAGATTATGAACTGTAGATAACAAATGCACAATGTTATTATCCTACCATAAAAAAGTCAGAACAGGAGGAATTCCCCCACCACCTCTGTGGTCCAGTTGGATGGTTTCTTTTAGCAATTTTTTGCCCCTCACCTGTTTCATATACCACAAACCCAGTAGCAAAATTCTATTCAAGAATACCAACTGCCTTGTCTTTACTAATATTGAGACAAGAAGGAAAGTCTTACTGCTGCAACATAGAGTACCATAAGCTCCAATTTCATAATTAAGCAAATGTGTAAAAAGACAGATATTTGAGAAGTAATTATCCACATATAAAGTAAAAAAAAAGATGTGTATGATATAGTAGTATAGTAAGCATTTGGAGCACAACTAAGGAGGTATGTGGAAGTAGATAGAGCTTTACCTCCTGTACGTCCTACTTGTCCAACACACTGAAGATACAGAATGCAAACCTTGACACAGAATGTAATGGTACTTGGCACCAGAACTTAGAACACAACTGAGTATACCTCAACAAAGGAAGAACTGGGCATAAATTCCATGTGTGAGAATTTCGAGACTGGACCTAAATGTCTAATACTAGAACAGGCCAAGACTTTAATTCTTTGTTACATCCTTTTTGTTGACCTATAGCCAAATATGAGTACTTTGATGGCTAAGATATACAGTATTTAGTGTGAGTCACTAGATAAGATGTTAAAGTCTGCGGATATTAAGCCATCAGAGTATATCTTGAACCTAGTAAGTCAGCAATCAATAATTGGATACTCTACAGATTGTTAATAAAGATAGAGATGATAAAGGTACTCTGGGGTAAGGTTATAATATGTCTACCATCTGAAGTATGATATTGTAAAGCTATATGAACTGCTACAGAACCCTGCAGCTATCAAGTAAAGAGTTAAATATCTCTTAGAAGGAGATCAGTTTATATATAATCCAGTTGGGTATGAGGTTGACCACTGGCAGCTAAATTGGTAGACCTTGAATGTTGACTAACTCAGACTAAACTGAACACAGAATCTCAGTTTCAGATTTCTTGTACCTCAGATCACCAATACTATTTATAGTAAGTACTTGACAGAAAAGAAAATGTGAGGTATTCTAAAACCCTACTTTATAACATAGATCAATGGCACCTTGGGGTGCTTGACTTGTATTATAATTGCTACAAACTTAGAGTATAGTAGATAAAGGTATATGCAAAATCAAGGGACTTCAAGTCTAATGTAGTAGGAGGTAAGATGCTCCTAAAACTTTTCATACTATATTTGACACTGATACAACTTGAACTAACATGTTGCTCCTACACAAGCCCTCTTTAGGAGGTGGGTTCAAACATATCAGAGATGTTCAGTATGTGCACTGACAGGATTCTTGCAGGAATTGGGCAAACTATCATTTAAAAGATTAAGCAACAATATAGTGTCCAAGAAGATTGATGACATCAGCAAAAATAAAAGCTTGCGTCCTGTGCGTCCTATGCGTCAGATGCATAGGACATACAGGACGCAAACCGTTAATCAGGACACAAGACGGCAGCTACTGAATCTCAGGATACAACGGTCCTTGGGACAGAACTCAGGATGCAACCAGGACGCAAGCAAGCCTTGGGGCCCAAACTCAGGACATAGTGAGAACGCAAGCAAGCACTACTGTAACCGGAACTGGAGTTCAGTCCGTTCGGTTCAAAGGATTTGTTTTATCTTTTGTTTTACTTGGGGTTTCGAGTATCCTTTGATACTCAGTTTGTTTTACTTGTGGTTTCGAGTATCCTTTGATACTCAGTTTGTTTTACTTGTGGTTTCGAGTATCCTTTGATACTCAGTTTGTTTTACTTGTGGTTTCGAGTATCCTTTGATACTCAGTTTGTTTTACTTGTGGTTTCGAGTATCCTTTAATACTTAGTTTGTTTTACTTGTGGTTTTGAGTATCCTTGGATACTCAGTTTGTTTTATGGGTTGTTTAAGGATGATTTGGAAATCCGTCCATGCAGGACATGGACGAAGCTTGTATTTAAAGACCACTGAATCCCTTAGAGGAACAGCAGACTTCGACGGACAGAGTATTTCTAATATACTTGGTTGAACGGTTACCTCTTCAAGTCCCTATTCTTTATAACTTTCTCTCGGAGCCTCCCTTAGCGCAGCACGCCCATAGGTTGTAGATCAACTTGTGCGCTACTCCTATTGTACTCGGAAGCGTGATTAGCACCCCAGTGCGAACACGTTACATTTTTTTAACCTCAGCAAGTGGTTAGAAACTTGTGTGCAAGATCGCGGATCGACAGGCACAACCCAGCAAAGCTAGCACGAAGGCGGAAGAGCCCAGCAGTGGCCCGCCTACCCCACCTACACCATAGACCCTCTCACGATGCGCAGTGGGAAACAGGTCTCCAGAGAAGGGCTAATGAAGCCTAAGAGACCAGGCCAAGCGACAGGCCCAAAAGACGGATTTGCGATCAACGATCCAGGAAGACAGCTAGCAAGAGATCAGGCAGCTCAGGATTTCAAAGGATCCAAGGAAGAGTTCAGCCAACAAAGCCTATCCACGCCTGGAGGCTTTCCAGTTACCCCTGGAAAGGGAAAACAACCCAGAACTAGCCAAAGTTTATCGAGACTACCTACAGAAGGTACAGGTGCAGCACCTGGCCCCGAAGACAACGGTAGCAGTAGCGACAGCGAAGACAGTATGGCAAGCTCAGCAAGAGACCCACCCGGAGGTCCTGTCACAAACTGTGACTAAGCAAGGCAGATTTCATATACCTCGGATTTCGGAGTTATAGGTATGTTGGGATTTCACATGACGCATACTAGTGCGCCATAGGTTATTATGTTTACCTGTTCGTGACTCACAGTTGTGAGTCACACGATGTTATGATTTTCGCACATGACTCATACTTATGAGTCATGGGTTTCACTCAGGTAACGCGAGTTGCGCACCTGACTTGGTTATTATGTTTTGATTGGTTTAGGCAGGTTGTGCAGCGACTCATAGGAGTCGTCTGATGGATTTCATATGACTCATGGTTATGAGTCACAGGGTTCGCGTGACGTGAGGTGTGAGTCACGCCAGGTGAAGAGCGACTATATAAAAGGGTCACTAAGACCCCGAGTATGAGCTCTTCACACGTTCTTCTAGTTTATTTCCTACCTTTAAGTTATTATCAATAAAACCTACCTTTACGCTCTTTCAGATTTATCTTAAGAAACCCGAGAAGTGTCTTTCCTCTCACGAGAAGAGATTAAAGTCCTAGGTGAGGACTAAGAAGAAGAATAAGGAGATAGGCGCGATTACGATAGTAGTCAAAGGACTAGACTATCGGGTTCGCGTAGGCATAGGCCTAAGAGCTATCACCTTACCGAGAAGTATCGTTACCTGTCACTAGGTCCTACCCGGTAGGATTCTTAACAGGTCCCCCAGGACCACCAGACCCTCCAGGAGGAGGATCTGGAGTCGGTGGCATACCTGTCAATCCCCCTAAGATCAAGCTCCCTCTACCTGCGAACTTCTCAGAAAAGGGTGATGATTTGAAACCCGAGGCATTTCAGCGATGGGAAACAGCGGTACATCAATACCTGAGGCTGCACGGCATAAATATTGAGGAACACAACATAGGAATGTACATAGGAGCCTTCTGTGAAGGCAGAGCCCTTGACGCCTATCAACAGTGCATGGATGCATATGGGGAAGGAGCAAGAGCAACCAGGGTACTTGAAGCCCTGAAGGAGCAATTCCAATCATCCCGAAATAGCGAGGAAATATTCAAAGCCTTCAACAGCATTAGCCAAACCCACGGCGGAAAGACAGAACGTATCAACAAGATAGCAACAGACCTCTTACTCTATGCAAAGCATATGCCTCGCGGCGCAGTATCAGCCTACATTCCGAAGCGCCGCTTCTATGATGCTATGCACCCCATACTCCACAGAGAGGTAGAACCAATGGAGGAGGATGACGACGATATCCATGACATAATAAAGAGGGCCGAGCGAAAGGACGCGATCCTGCATGAAACCAATGCCTATGGAACCAGACCCTCACCACCACCTCGAAGGGAACGGCAAGACCAAATACCGGGTCCGTCAAGGACTAAGAAATCAAAGTTTCAGAAAAATGTGAAGCAATCC